TTTTTGCCCCGATATAAATTGTATTGGAAGCTGTTGTGGTATAATGCTTAGCACATTGGACTTACAATCCAGAGGGCACGGATTCGATCTCCCAGCGTGGCAGATGAAATAATGGGGCAAATTTCTGAAAACGGTGTCACCCTGCTGCTGCCAACCTAGCAAATGCCTATACATGATGACATCAAGGTCAGTTGGCCGGGAGCTCACGAGTGTGGTGGGGTGAAGTGTGGTAACTCCCACCTCTTCCAAGAAAGACGTCTAGTCAGTGTTAACAAGAGTAGGCCAAAAATATCCTCAAGAGGGTTTTTTTCGAGCTCCCTCTCGCGGAGATGCTTCTGACAGCAGTGGTGTGAGCATCAGTTACAAGGCTGCACCTTTACCCATAACGTTTATTACATATCGGTTCCTAAAAGTCTAAACTGTTGTTCTCAAACCCGCCAGTAAGAAGGGGCTGTAATGGTTATTGTCCAAGAGGGTGCATTTATTATGGAACATAATTGGTTAAACAGAAGTGCTTTTTGCAGGCCGTTGGTAAGTCCAACCAACTCGATGCACTTGAGGTCCTAGTATTTGATTCCATTTGGGTATAACCCTAATTAGGGGGGCAATCATGTTTTAATAGACTTCACCGAATGATGAATTGATATGTGAGAAACCAGCATTGTGAAGGACTAAAGTGTCCCTTCCAGTGCTGGGTGAATGGCCTGTTAAGTTGAGAGCGGGGTCATCGACTGAGTTCATTCTTTTTACGATGTGATGATTAGCTGCCTGAAGAGTTAGATTTAACGACACACAAAGGTATTTCTCACAAAGAGCAGCAGAAAGGCACAATGCCCATCACGCCTCACATGCGTGTCACGTGACCACCGCATTGTATGTACAAGGCTCTCATCCCTATCTAATGAAAACTGCAAAAACAAGTCAATCACAATTGCATGATGCTAGCGCTAGCTATTAAAAGTTTCGTTTTTTTACTCCGCAGTGGAGAGACATTATATTCCTCGCCTGGTATGCAGGAGGTTGTGGGTTCAATCCCAACCCTGACGCCTGCTGTATATTTGGAGTTTGCATGTTCTCCCCGCGGCCGCGTGGATTTTTCTCCGGGTCCTACAGTTTTGCCCTGCACATTTAAAAACATGCGTTTAAAATATTTGGCTGATATAAATTTCCACATGATAAGCCGTTGAGCTATCATTTGTGGCCAAAGCGCTTTATAGCTCAGTGGGCCTTACCTGGTGAAATAAAAATAATACATCGTAAAATATATAAAATTTGTTAAAATAGGTTATCCTGCCCAGTGTGGAATTGCCTCTCAGCATCATCAACAACAACAGCAGCCACGGTCAAGCCACCTGCTGTATAATGAGGCCTCCCTAAGCCATCGCCATCTCTCACGATCCCGCAATGTAATAATCCACCTCGCACCTTCACGTAAGCTGATTTGATCAATACAGCTCCTCGGTGGACATCCTCCCGGGTGCATTTCATTCAATAGGGTGAGTTATTAACTCCCGCCTCTTATAGAAACCCAGTGAAAAGCACAATTTGGATTTACCCTTGACATCCTTGCAAGGTAGACGTTCCATCTGAAAGGATTATCCAGGTATAATATTTTTTTTTATCTAATAACAAACGATGATAAAGCTCAATAAATAAACACTGCTAGTCCAATATGAAAAATATATATTTTAAATAACAAATGCTATACCACAAATTGGTCTCAACTTAGTCAAAAATATAAATTGTAAAGTAGATCTCTCATTAATTATCAAACAAGAATCGATTTTTTTTCTTTTGTACAGCCACTGGATTAAGAGCACCACAGAAAGATCAGTACCCAGGCATCCCCAAAAGCTGACCCTGTTTAAAAAGGTGGTGGGGGGGGAGAGCATACAACAACTCAGGGGCAGCGAATACCACAGTGTTCAACAAAGTGTATTTGGTGGTGACACACCGTACAGAATGAGTAATGCTGTGATGTGCCTGTTGCCTATCGTGTATTTTGCTGTAGCTCTCATCCCGTGTGTGTGTACAATGCAAGGCTTGGCACACATTGCTTAATTGTACCCCCCCCCCCCTCCCAGACAGTTTGTATATCATTGAGTGAAGTTTGCATATTGATAAAATGGGGAATGAGCCTTCAGAAGAGGCACTGAGCCCCCTCGTGTTATGTCTGATGATACGAGGCTGGTACTAAAACCCGAGTGAAGCCCATGAGCCATCAACACAACATCACCTTCTCTCCCTTGTTCCCCCTGATTCTAAACCCAGCTATTCGTCCAATGTCCTTTAGTATGAATAAGTTAAGTAAATAAATGACCCTCATCGATGAATTTCAAGAAAAAACCGTCACAAAATCCTTGTACTGTATTGACTTTGGTTCAAAGTGAGGTGGCAAAACAGCGCACACAATTGTGGCTGTTTAATATCAAGTGATTTTTTAAAAATATATAACAAGTAGGCTCTCGCGACCAATATTATTCTTGATAACGTTTTTTGGGTTAGATCACGTAAATATAAATGTGTCGTAAACCCACCTACAATTTTACCAATGGCCTGATGAAGCTGGTTGTAGTGACCAGTGAATCGTTGGACTCAAATTGTAAATGTTGTGAGTTTACTCTCTAACACACCGGTGGTGCTCAAGGATCAACACATTTGGCACGTTTTTTTTCACGTGACAACCCCTTACGAATTCGCTGTGTCGACAAATTTGCATGTACGTGATCTAACTCAAAAACCTTTCTCATGATCTTGTTTGTTTACCATTAGTTCACTTGTATAAAAGCATTGCGGTGAAGCACAAATGGCATGTCACTATCAGAACCCTCTCCCTATTTCCCCAACCACTCCCAACTACCATGCCAACACACATTTACTCGAAAACAAAGCATTGTGACAACTCATCACAGACAGAGCATTGCCTCCACGGCGAATAATTATGATCGTTATTACATGGCATTGTTTTTTAAACATGACAAGAGTGGATGCTCACACGATTTTATGCTCTCTGAATGTCTCGTGATTGATGACATAATGTGAGAGTTTGACTCTAGCCCCAGGCCAACTTTTCTCCACGCAACGCAATGCATCTTTGCAGTACAGCTACCAGTTGGGGGGGGGGGGAGGTTTTATATCTGTCTCGTGTCCCTCAGCATGTGAAACCACATCAAACGCTCTGCTTAAGCAACAAAATCAAAGCAGTCGAAGGCCTGGGGGATGGGATTTTTTGTTTGTTACGTGACATAATCTGGCCGACATGAAATAACATTTCTCACTAAAACCATGGGTTCTGAAATAAAAGTATATTTCTCTTTTTTAAGACAGGTTACTATCTGCAAAGCCCAAAGTTCTTCAAGAACAAATGACTAAACTAAAGCAATGCATGTATTAGCCATTGACCTTAGGGGGAAGTGACTGTCTCCCTCCACAATGAAACCCTGATTCCACAATTTTCCATAATGAATTCGACCCAAACCAAAAAGCCTTTGTGCACATTGGGATTGGAATATTCTCTCAACACATTACAGCCCTTCCCTATTGTACAAAGCACTGCATGCTTATAATGCCTGCAGAATCAATGCCGCCCATCACCTGTGGCAATTAGTCAGCAATTTTTCTCAACAAAGCCAGCTGTACATAGCACTGAGTTGGATGTCACGATTCAAGTAAAATAAGAAATATCTGAATTTAATGGCCTATAAATGTTTCAACGCTTGATTGTATATATCCTTCCTTAACCAGGTTATCTCACTCCCCATCTATACATCTCTGGTTAGAAATCATGGGTGTAATTTAATTGTGCATATGAAAGATCATGCCAATTGCTGGGACATATTAAAAAGCTTTTTTTATATTGTTACTGACACTTATTCATGCTGCACACTACCTCTTAGGAAAACGATGGTGTGTTTGTAACAGTGGTTACAACACCAGAACAGAGGGAAACTAAATGTTATTTTGGGACTGACAAAAGTCCAGGATGTTTAATGTCTTGGGGAGACTTACAGATGTTCAAGGACCGGTGCCTGAACATGAGGATGCCTTGAGAAAAACCAGGACAAGTGAAAACCCGAATGTGAATGTAGTACTCGTAACTTGAGGCAGGTTTGCCTGCTGTCTACGTCGTAATCACGCTCGACAACGAAGTACCCAAGAGAGGGTGCTGGCACTGACTTCAAAACTCTTCAAAACATCGATACACAACCGTGCTGCAATCTCGGTTTAAAAACACAAATGTCAGTATAAATCTTGTTCAGGATAATTGTTTTTCCAGGAAAGGGCCAAATTTAGAGATGCTTGTTTTTGGATTTCAAAATTCGATTTCATATTTGGATACCGTGCCTTCAGATACTTCAGATACACACCCATGCAAGCCAAGTATTTTTTTATTCAAATGTCCGTTCCGAAATGTTGGAAAGACCATGATGGTATTTAGTAAAGGTGTGAGGAACTTTTTTTGTAGCCACAAGCAGCGACTTCACTATATTTGTGACAAATGTCAAGTTTTGTAACACTTGCGGCACATCTTGATGTGTGTGTGCTGTGCAATGGCGCATTGTTGTTAACGGTGTCAGTACGCCCTCTTGTGGCTGAACTTGACAATCATTCATAACCCTTCCATGGCCCGGGAGCATTCATACATTGGGTTGCTGCCCTCAATGATTTCGCTTGGAAATTGCTCTCTTCCTGATTTATGACGATTGCTTGCGTTGCGATCGAAAGGTCGTGATCTATAATTTTTTTCTACCTACGTGACTTTACCGAGAGGACCAAAGAGTATGGATTCCTGCAGTCACGTAAGCTTCAAATCAACATTTAAACCATTATGAGTTATGGTACCATTGCATTTTCAAGTGCCTGTCCGGTAAACATGGAACGTTAGACTGACAACATCGGGTCAACGGTTCCAACCATCACACATGCACGGAGATGGCCCAGCTTCGGCATGTTGACTTGCCGGTGGAAATAACCTAACAACGCCTCTAGGTGGCGGTAGAGCCGCATTTTATAAATATTAGTCGGGGTCTTTTTATTCCTTCGTTACCCGGTCACAGGAAATGACAACATTCAAGATATCCATGCAACACTGACGTGTCCGCGGTGCAGAATAAATCGTGTGCTGTGTTAGCGCGACACACCTGGGATTATTATAACAGCTGTGTTAAGATTTCCGTTGTCAGAGGGACTGTTATCATCACTCGGCAATATCCCCGGGTTGATCTTAGTTGTTGCAATGCGGCGCAGCAGTGTCGACCAGAAGCAGGACAGGCGGACAGACACAATGAACGGCGACGCCCATCGTTTGACCGGCGGAGATGATGGTTGTCATGAGGCCACGGCCGCCACCACCACCACGACGGCGACGGAGAAAAAAGGAGGAGTGAGGCGGAGGGCATGCCCTGCAGGGCAGCCAGAGGATCGGCCTCCTCCAGAGAGGACCTCCATCCCAGCAGGGACATCGGGAGCAACAAAGCCATCGGCTGGGGCAGGAGCAGAGGTCAAACTCATGGAGGGGAAAGGCGCAGGAGGAGGGAGGGCATGCCCTGCAGGGCAGCCAGAGGATCGGCCTCCTCCAGAGAGGACCTCCATCCCAGCAGGGACATCGGGAGCAACAAAGCCATCGGCTGGGGCAGGAGCAGAGGTCAAACTCATGGAGGGGAAAGGCGCAGGAGGAGGGAGGGCATGCCCTGCAGGGCAGCCAGAGGATCGGCCTCCTCCAGAGAGGACCTCCATCCCAGCAGGGACATCGGGAGCAACAAAGCCATCGGCTGGGGCAGGAGCAGAGGTCAAACTCATGGAGGGGAAAGGCGCAGGAGGAGGGAGGGCATGCCCTGCAGGGCAGCCAGAGGATCGGCCTCTTCCAGAGAGGACCTCCATCCCAGCAGGGACATCGGGAGCAACAAAGCCATCGGCTGGGGCAGGAGCAGAGGTCAAACTCATGGAGGGGAAAGGCGCAGGAGGAGGGAGGGCATGCCCTGCAGGGCAGCCAGAGGATCGGCCTCTTCCAGAGAGGACCTCCATCCCAGCAGGGACATCGGGAGCAACAAAGCCATCGGCTGGGGCAGGAGCAGAGGTCAAACTCATGGAGGGGAAAGGCGCAGGAGGAGGGAGGGCATGCCCTGCAGGGCAGCCAGAGGATCGGCCTCTTCCAGAGAGGACCTCCATCCCAGCAGGGACATCGGGAGCAACAAAGCCATCGGCGGGGGCAGGAGCAGAGGTCAAACTCATGGAGGGGAAAGGCGCAGGAGGAGGGAGGGCATGCCCTGCAGGGCAGCCAGAGGATCGGCCTCTTCCAGAGAGGACCTCCATCCCAGCAGGGACATCGGGAGCAACAAAGCCATCGGCTGGGGCAGGAGCAGAGGTCAAACTCATGGAGGGGAAAGGCGCAGGAGGAGGGAGGGCATGCCCTGCAGGGCAGCCAGAGGATCGGCCTCCTCCAGAGAGGACCTCCATCCCAGCAGGGACATCGGGAGCAACAAAGCCATCGGCGGGGGCAGGAGCAGAGGTCAAAATCATGGAGGGGAAAGGCGCAGGAGGAGGGAGGGCATGCCCTGCAGGGCAGCCAGAGGATCGGCCTCTTCCAGAGAGGACCTCCATCCCAGCAGGGGCATCGGGAGCAACAAAGCCATCGGCGGGGGCAGGAGCAGAGGTCAAAATCATGGAGGGGAAAGGCGCAGGAGGAGGGAGGGCATGCCCTGCAGGGCAGCCAGAGGATCGGCCTCCTCCAGAGAGGACCTCCATCCCAGCAGGGGCATCGGGAGCAACAAAGCCATCGGCGGGGGCAGGAGCAGAGGTCAAAATCATGGAGGGGAAAGGCGCAGGAGGAGGGAGGGCATGCCCTGCAGGGCAGCCAGAGGATCGGCCTCTTCCAGAGAGGACCTCCATCCCAGCAGGGACATCGGGAGCAACAAAGCCATCGGCGGGGGCAGGAGCAGAGGTCAAACTCATGGAGGGGAAAGGCGCAGGAGGAGGGAGGGCATGCCCTGCAGGGCAGCCAGAGGATCGGCCTCCTCCAGAGAGGACCTCCATCCCCGCAGGGACATCGGGAGCAGCAACAGCAACGTCAGCCAGGGCAGGAGCCGTGGCTAAGAAAAAGCCGGAAGCAGTGAAGGTCGTATCGCGAAGAGGTGCTGCCTGATGAAATGTGCCTTGATCTCTAGTGCATGACAATACATGGCCTGCTTCAATGGCACATTGTGTTGGGTTTTTTTTCCCTCCACGTGGTGGTTGCAGTAATTATTGTGATGCATTCCGGGCTGAGGACGTAATTTCTCACGGAATAATTTCCAGGGTCCTCCGAACCCCTGGCAAATACTTTTTTGGCAGCGGTTTCTGGAGCTCAGCCCTAGACAGCTCGGGCTGAAATGTATTCCTGGAAGCATGTGGGTTTGGAATCTTGGATAATGCTTTTCCGCGAAGCAGTGTTTGTGTATGTCACAAGAAGCCTCTTTTGAGTGGTGGTAATTTTTGTAACTTTTTGGGAGGTTCGTCTTATGGGAAATCACTGTGTATAATTTGCGACAAATTAAACACTTTGAAATTGCGTTACCAAATGAAGGTGCACCCAGTGGGAACCTAATGCTATATTTGGGGGGGGGGGGGTTACGCTTGTGCAAAGCTTTTCAAGGGTAATTGTCAGTGGAACTTGTGGATCTTCAGTGAACGTGGTTTGGGATAATTTCACTCTAACTTGCAATGTATTAATTGCCAACGCAGCGCTTGTCAAATAGCTGCCATTTTAATTGGTGACGTGTCATGATTTTAATTGTATTAATTAATGTTGAGTACAAATTGCTCCCTCCGTTAAAAAAATCGCTGCCAGAGAGTATTTGTAGAAAAGGACACATGGTTCTTCATTGTGTCGAACCCATCAGAATAACAAAAAACAAGGCCCTCTTTGTGAGAAAGCTACACACTGCCTAACGGGGACATTCCACGAAGAATACAAATTGCTCAATTATCTACAAATTATTAAACAATTCACTGCTGAATGAAGATCTCTGCATACCTTTTTGTCACGGGGGTTGTTTGACCTGACTTCATTAGCTGGTCAATGCGGAGGGGCAGGGGTCCAAGACCAGTTTGGATATCACTCACCACTCATGTTAGCCATGGGCCGGACGAGGGCCGGCAGGTTCAACAGTGCAGTGCACTAACCACTGCAGCACCACTCTCCACCACAAAATGATCCACAAATAGAGTGGCATTATTGAAAATAAAACACGTTCATGTTTTCAACTTTAGCGTGTGTGGCTGTTGCAAAGGTTCATGGTTTGAATCCAGCGCCTGCCATGATTCTCGCTGCGGACGTCCCGACCCCAACAATACGCTCCATCCGTTTCACGGTGGACCTTGAAAGATCCTCCGTTGTCATTTGCTAGAGTAGGCCATCGTGTGCCCGCGTCAGGGTCCGAATTTGGCAAATTTTAAAACTGAAATTTACCTCAGAGGAATTACCTTAAAAGATCCTCCGTTGTCATTTGCAAGAGTAGGCCATCGTGTGCCCGCGTCAGGGTCCGAATTTGGCAACTTTTAAAACTGAAATTTACCTCAGAGGAATTACAACATAAGCAATCATGGCCCTCCCTACTGGCAAAAGTGTTCATTTGCAGACCGGCTGCTGGGCCACCTTGTACCCACACGGACAGCTGTTGAGATTTTACGTGAATCACTGCGAGACGACCTGGCATAAATGAGAGCGCTCTCTCCAAAACAAATTATCATTTATTTGTATTCGATTACTTTTACCTGCATGCCCATGAGCCTATGACCATGACACCAGGAATGTTCTTGATTTTGTCAGATCTCTGAAGCTAAGCAGGCTGGAGCCTGGATAGTGCTTTAATGTGTGACCACCACAGGCTGACATGGGCCACAGGCCTACGACTTGGGCAGCAAAACAAAATCCATTGTACCGTGTGTACTTCTATGCTCAGACATGCACTCTGCCCGCCTTCACCAACCCACGTTGACGAGCATGGTGAGTGTGGTCATTTGACCCCATTGGCATGTACAGCATGGGCAGGCTCTCATTCACCAGTGGACTGACGAAAGGGCTTGTACGTTGTATATTTTCGCTGCAGCGTGCTCTCTCGCGTGTGTCGCAGGCTACACTGGCAGAGCTGTGATCCCTGCACAGAAAAAGGAAATCGTGTCTGTCGCCAAGGCCATGCATCAGGAAAACTTCGCGGCCAAAGTGAAAGAGCTCTTCGACCCAGAGAGGGAAGCCACCCTGCAGGCTCTCAAGACAGGTGTGACAAGCACAACACAGATCAATTATCAACACAAATCAAGCATGCAACGCAGAGCCCAACATGGCGAGTTTAAATTAACGGGCCATGATGAATCGTCTGTGCGACTACGTGGTGGGCAGCTGATGGCAGTACAGCAAAATTCGTTCTTGTACTCCCACTCCTATGATTCCCACCTTCACCCACCTGCACTGACCAGAGTAGTAAAACGTAGCCAAATAGCTCCCATGACCCGCTCGGCCTTGAAGGTCTTCATCCAGCAGTGGATTGACAAAGAGCCTGTACATGTACGATTGATCATCTGAGGTGCAAGATTGTCATTTACTTATCCAGAGGAGTTCACAAACCAAGCTGCTGCACTGTGATCTCCTGCACATATTGCAGGCCAGTGGGTTTGGGAATTTCACAAAGATGCACGTTTCACCAACCCTCATTTTCAACATGCAAGATTACACGTGTGCACCGTTTATTAGAATCAACATGAACTCAACATTTCCAGCAGATAACACTCAACATATGGCGAAAGTCCAATGTAAAGTAGAGGTGCAGCCCTGTAATTACCTGCTCATGCTACTACTGGCAAAAGGGCCTCCACCAGAGGAAGGCGAAAGATAGAGTCCCTCTAGAGGGTATTTGGCCTACTCTTCCACATTGTCCACACTCCTTTGAAGAAAGAGTTACGCTTACCCATATTCACCCCACTATACACGACTGGCTGATCGACTAACCCATTTAACTTCGAGGTGTGTTACAACAAAAATATCCAAAGTTCCCCCATTGTATAGGCTACTTGTCTAAGCATTGGCGTGTGCGTGGGGGCAGGCGTGTACGTGGGCTGGCGCTGCCCAGAGTTCACGTGGGACTGCATCCGTGTGGGAGAATCGTGCCGCTGCTTCTGCGGGCACCTTCTCGCCGATCACCACAGCTACACGGGTGAAGACGTGTTTGCCACTGCCAAAACCGCATATTCACCGAGCAACTCGGGTCTGAAGCGAAGGTCTTTACTGTCACTTTAAAAAGAACATGGGATCTTGGTTTTGTTAGTTTTATCGCATAACCGTGCAAATTTTACATATGATGTAGAGTAGCATCTCTCAACCTCTAGTCCTCCATAATTGTCAATCTTTTCTGATCGTGCGCGAATGATGCCACTGACTGCAACACTGCTTGCGCCTGATGGTTGGGTAATCACGGAAAGCTGTACTGCTGTAGAGATTCACAAGGTCCGGAGTTGGGAAACACCGACGTGGACAGCATATGCGATTGCCGAGGAATTGATACCATCTCCACACGTGCCGTGTGCAGGTCAGAGTGTACACGTGCCATGTGCCAAACCGGGATGCGGGTGCCGTGCATTTGCTTTCATCCCTTCCCGGCCGGAGGAGGTGGGAGAGTTCTGGCTGCGAAAGCGTCCTGGCTTCGAGCCGAAGAACTGGCGCGCCAAGTGTCGCTGCAAACATAGCCACGACGCACACGTTCCCAGAGGCAGCCTCTCTTGCAAGACCAAAGGTGAGTTTGGCCTGGACCTTGCTTTAGAGCGGTGGTTCTGAATGTTTCTACACCTACAGTACCACTGTCATCCTTTGAAAAAAAATGAAAGAAATTCATCACAGACCACCATGTACACAATAACATATTTTTCAAAATAACACCAAAAAAACCTCAATTGGGGTAACGAATCGGCGAACCACTTCCTCCCATGCCCTTGAAAACCACCAGTGGTCTGCAGACCACAGGTTTGAGAGTTGGGGGAGGTACCACTTTTTTAGAGCAAGACACCAACAAAAACTTGGCAACACAACTCCTCATACTGCAGACAATCGAGTGACCCGATTGTGTCGCCAGGTTGCAGCTGCCCGCGTTTTGAGTCGAGTTTTCTGTGCGCGGCGTGCGACCGTCGCTGGGAGCAGCACGAGACATTCTTCGACACGGAGAAGAGCAGACGTGAGGCTGGCCTGCCCGTCGGTGAGCGCAGCTGTAGGCCTCGGCACCTTTAACATCCGCAGTCTTAAAACGCACTCTGTGGACACTTTACTAAAACCCTCCCGCATGCGTCATTGCACTCGCAGGCATTCAAGTTACGTATAAATGAAGATAAAGCACATGCTACTCTATCTTAATACAATAAAGGGTTAATATTATGTCTTTTTTTAGTCATCATCAGCCATGATCAATCCCCTGCCGGATTAGGGCCTTCCCAACCCATTCCCATCCCTCACGGTCTTGCACCTGCGCATGAGCTGATTTCATTGCCCCATCCCTGTGGTAGATATTCTCTCAGGCGTCTTCCCTCTTTTGGTGGACACTCGGTAGTTAGTCTTAACCACCGGCCACCATCCCTTCCAGCGAAGTATCTTGCCCATATCCACTTACTTTTCGCAACAGTTAATTTGATGTATTTATTCTAGATTTGAAGTTTGTATCTAACCTGAGTGATGTATCTAACTTGAGTGTGTGCTCAATGCCGTGTGTCCCTCTTTCCATGCTGCAGTAGAATGCATGCATGCATCTCTCCTTGCTTATTTGCGTTTTTGGCTTTTGTGCCCATTTTTTTTGCGAGTTCAACGTTTGTGACCCAGGTAATATAAACCGATAACAACATTGATATATATATGCACGTTCTTTCGTCAAACCATAATGACACAATGCCCTTCGCACTTCCACAGGTGAGGCGTACTTGCCGTTCGCGGAGATCCCGAAGCTCAGAAACGCTGTGCTGACGGGCAGCGAGGAGGACGACACGGGATACGTGGCCCTCAGGGAAGGGGGCCTCGCTGCACTGCCACCAAGCCAGCCAGCGGAAGATGGTGTGGCCAGCGGCACGAAGGCGTCTGGCTTTCGGCCGGTGTATGACTAACCTGTGCTGCTACGGTTTCCATAAAACTGCGTTTCCCGTTTATTTCAATGTCGTATTCATGAAACTCTTTAAATGTACAAACCCAACCTTCTCACGCCTCATGTCCACTGTGAACTTCCATAATCTGCATATATATACGACTGCTATAAGATGATGTTAAGGACGCTGCGGTGGTGTTACGGTTAGCACACTTGACTTGTAATTCAGAGGTCACCGATTTAATTCGATCTCCCGGCGTGGCATTTGAAATGGTGCAAATTTATCAAATCCCCCTACACCCCACCTCTTTACACCCTGCAGTATGAATGTGTACGGCGTGGTTAGTTGATCGGCAGGATACATATGGTCGGGTACAGTGTTGGTACCCCCACCTTTTCCAAGATGTCTAGCCAAAATATCCTCCAGTGGAGGCTCTTCACACAGCAGTGGAATGAGCAAGCAATTATCGCAAGGCTGGAGCTTTACCTTTTTTAATGAAATTACATGAAAGAATGTCACATTTGGGGGAGGGGGGGGGGTGATTTTACTCCTAAAATTACAGGAAACGTTAACATTTGCTTTCCATAAATCCAGCATATACAAGTTTAAGCAACTGATGTGTGTATTTATTCATCTCAGTCATGTGTGTATCATACTGAACAGAAATCAAAAGAATAAATACCTAAAACATGAAGCATCGTTTTAATTGCAATGTACAGGAATACATCGCCTCATTAACATCTATGACAATCGCAAAGCTGCCCGAACCTTGCAAGTTCAAGGGCAGATGCACCAACACGCCCATTTCGTGTCTACTAGAGCACTGTTCCCACAGTATTGCCAGGGAAGTTAGAGGGTCAATCTACTCCTGGATAAGGGCATCGTCACACTATGCAAGTTATGGGGATTATTTCACCATATGCTGATCAGTACCGGCAGGTAAAGGCATGGAGCATGATACCGTATAATGGCTTTGACGCAATGTCCTCTTGCTGCACCTTGACACATTTCAGATGGCTGCAACAACACATTGGTCATCCTCATTCAGGACAAGAGTTTTGTAAATATATATATGGGTATCGCAAGGTCAATCATAGATTGAGAACACCTCGTATCCAACAGGAAAGATGTGTAAATACACGTGGGCACGCACACACGGAGAAAAGTGTTTTGCTCAATTGTAACCATGCGTGTTGGGCAGTCTTGTGTCTGTGTGGTCCGTCGACTGCACCACGGCATACACCCATTGTGCACAAATGCGAGAAAGTATATTTTTTTGTGCGGTTCGTCATAATCAATTCCCTGCTATTTTTGACAATTCACGGTGCTCAGTGTTTGGCCAGGGGCGGTTTCTTCATTATGGCGATTGGGCGACGCACCACCAATGTCATTCAACCACAGAGTCACGCTAGCCGTCACTGTGCCTCTGGATATAGTCCAATCAGCGTCATGTCACGTTCTGTGGAGTACCGCCTCTTTTTGGGCGATTTCCCTCCAGCTGAGAATCGCCCCGAGTGGCCCCATAGACTTACATTCAAAGATGTTTTTTTTCGAACGGGGGCGCTGCAATGCATTCTCTATGGCTTCCGGGAGGGCTCGCCCTAACGTGCTTACGTCATCATACGTGCTTACGTCATCATACGTAAGCACGTTTCATCCAACAATATAATTTGTGGCCACCTAGTGGAATCTTTAATAAAATAAACTTGAGTGGTTTGTTTTAATAGTGAGTATAGAAACAAACAAGATGTATTGTAAGAGTCACTTTATTTTTCATTAATATTAAAGAAGTGAAGTTGCCTTTACATGCTTAAGCTGTTAATGTATCCATTGCATGGGTGGACCTTATCCTTATCAATCATCCAGACATTTGCCCCCCCCTGAGAGATTTTGCAGGAGCCGCCACTGGTTTTGGCTACTCACAAAAGAGGTTTTCATCTTCTTGGTTCTTTCGGTAAAGTCACATAGAAGGAAAATAACAAAATAATAAAAATAAAACAATAAAATAATTCTCACGACGTTTCGGCCACAACGCAAGCAGCCGTCTTCACCTGTTGTGGCCGAAACGTGAGAATTATTTTATTATGTTTTATTTTTATTATATTATTATTTCCCTTCTACGTGACTTTATCAAAAGAACCAAGAAGACGAATCCCTGCAGTCACGAAAGCTTTAAATCGAAATTTAGAGGTTTGCATGTTAAGAAGGCTATTCTATGTCAATTATTCACCATGTATATACGACAGACTGACTTGTTAGAACTCTATTGGTGAAAGAGCATATTTTGATCATGATTATGTTTTTACCTATATATTAGATCACATGCCCTATATAACTCGTCATCAATAACATCAGTCACCATGGACTTCCGCTCAGAATGAGCCCTGATTCGACTCTGTAATTGTGACATTTACTCAAGCAAGGGTTGTGGGCTGACAGACATGTGACGTTACCTCCATACAATATAATCAAACGATACACATTGATCATCTCTACGCAACCAGATGACATCACACTGAAAAAAAAATGAACTAAACAAACCAGATTTAAATATTGATGGTTTCATGAAGTTAACACTCATGGCTGAGCAATAAAACCCAACGACAAATGAAAGATGCAGACGCTAAGCAGGGCTTTGAGCCTGGACAGTGCTTGGATTGATAACCACAAAGGGTTAAAGAACAGGTGTTGTAGACAGTGTGAATTTGAGTAACACCCCGCCCTTTACCAAAATTAATTTGATTCTAATTTACGCAATGACCAGCGTGAATTATGGTCAAATTATATTCCTGAGAGCACGAAAGGCGTGAGGAGCTCTCATCCAGCAGTGGAATGACAAGGTGCTCGACACACCACACGGGTGTTAGGCTTAATGAAGTGTAACGTGTGTTTAACAATGGCAATAAAAAGGGAGGGGTGACGTTCAAGCGAATATTTTCTTTAGGTAATACAGGACCGTACACACAACCTGATCTACACACTGCAAATGAAATAGAGCGCACACGCTTACGTTCGAACACATCCAACCATTGCAATAAACAGGCCGGGACTAAATTCACTCAAACTCCTTCTGCACACACACACTACCAAATGCACAAAGAGTCCCTTCTCTGGCATTAACGCTCAGAGGCGGTGGTAAAAAAAAATACACGTTCCGCATGCGACAGTACAGCAGAGCTGTGCATAACAACGCCTCTAACACACCCACCCACCCGCTATAGTAAGGACTAACAACACATAGGACAGCTCCAATACATCTCCGATTTGCACGGTTGCCTACGTACGGTGCGAAATAAGTTCGGCATGCAATGCATTCGATTCAGTCCATAATGGTTTTAAACTCTTTCCTACAGCCCTCGGCCGAAGGTGGATAGCTCCACATCCCTACAACAGAGCCTCGGTGGAAATTCCACATTTCTACGACAAGAGTCAACCCCCCCCGCACACGCGCGCGAATAAGACGTTCTATGACAATCAACAATCGTCGTGCGGATCGTCGCCACAGGCGTGACACGCGCGTTCGAGTTACGCGCATGGCGATGGGTTTTGTTGGTGCATGTCACAACACCATCTCCTAGGTGCCAGCGTCCCGCCTTCCAGCGGGGCAGTGCCTGCTTGAGCGGTCGCCCTCTCGGGGGAGGGCTTTGGCCCGCAAAGAGTGAGCGAGTGGCGAACGAAAGCACAAGTCGAGGTGGCTTAAATAGCGGCATCGCCAACGGGCAAACACCACAGGCGGCGTTCACGGCAGAGGGCGAAGCGGTAAGGTTGGCACGCGGTGCCCCACACGGGCAATCTGGCCGGTCTCATCGAGGGTGGCTCTTCAAAGTTGTATCCGTGCGGTGAGTTTGCGAGTTGTGTGTGTGTGCGCGTGTCTGTGTCGTTATACGTGTATTCTTTCCTTTATAGTTTATTTTTTTTGGTTTGTTCTTTCAAATTGTATTTTCAAGCGAGAAGGTGAAATGGACCAAGACGTTTTTCCTCCCAAGATCAGCTCGCTGCTGATGACCGCAGAGCCGCACTACATCCCCGGGTGAGTGACACGGGGGGCGAAATCTTCGCCACGTGTATACATCACATTCATCACGCACGCACCGTATTCTACGGATTATAAGACGCACTTTTACCCTCATTATAAGACGTCTTGCAATCCGTAAATTACGATCAAAGCATAGCTCCGTGCTGCTGATGAGAATTCGTGAGATCGAAACCCGTTCGAGGGTTTTCCTGCTGAAACAAACGCTGCTGGGTAACTTTGGTCGCTCCGGCTCTCGGGATGACGGAGTCACTGGAGTCAGAATTATTCACGGCACTGTCTACTGCTAGCTGAGAGACCATACTTCACCAGACTGGTCAATACGGGCTGGTTGAAGCGAGGGGCAGGAGGGCATGACGGACTCGGATATCACAGACCACAATGCACCCACGCAATGCGCACCATTGCGACATAGCATTGGAGATCCACGTCACACTGCCAATGCGAGCCTCTAAAACTCGTGTGACGCCTAAGCAACGAACAAGTAACTCCACTACTTAGAGCCCTATTGGTCTATTCAGTGCTTATGTATGTTTGTGTGTGTGTTGGGGAGCGGTTGCGTAGTGGTGTTAATGCACAATGTTACGAATCAAGCCACCCGAATTGGATTATCGGCCATGGCTGACAGCGGTAGGGAGTGATATCCGAACCCGTCTTGGGCCCTCCCCTCCGTCGACTTAGCCTCGAGTGAGTTTTCCTGGCGGCACGGTGTGTAACAAATCATCGCTGGGGAGACAAAGACAGCCCTGTGCGATGCTGCCCACGAACACCCGCTCCCTTAATAGGTGCTCACTAACAATTCTTACCCCAACAGTGTGTTAAGGGCTACGGGGGGTGGGGGGGGGGGGTTCTTTGTGTGTGTGTGTGAACTTGCTCAAGCAAAGACCCCCGCAAAGAGCTGGGCGTGTGCGGGCTGCAATTGTGTACGTGTCTCTATAGCGACTGGAGTTAAGAAGGGGGTAGTGACGACTTCCACTGAGTGCTATTGGCAACACGGTAACGGGGTCACACACACACACAGCAACCTGGGAATAGTGTACACGTTCACCGGTCAATATACGCCTCACGAGTAATAATAATTCAAATTTATAATACGCATTCCATCCTAGTGTCGCTGTTGTATAATTTTTTTCCAGGAAATTATACGATATGCATTGTAACGATATTGCAATGTTTTTACTTAGTTGCTATTGTGTTTTGATGTACAGTACTTCCAGTACGAATAAAAACAAAATTAACCCGTAAAAACAAAGTTTTTCACTATAAATCCTTTATATGCGTGGCGGCTAGAGTCCTCTCGTCCTCTGGCTTGAGATGGCTGCCATCTATGGGTCAGATGATTGCCTGCCACCATTAAGCAATTGGTAATTAAATATAAAAAATAAATTCCTAAAAAGTGTAAAGTTATGGAAATTTTTTTTCACGAAAATAAATTGTCACGCACAACGAGTCTGTGTGCAAAATGTCAGCTCGATTGGATCACGGGAAGTGGGTTAAAAAACGACCAAAAGATTTGCACGGTCGTAAGCGCGCAAGCAAGCAAGTGAACTTAATATAAAGGATTTAAAAATACTTAAAAGTTTGCCAGCCACGGTTCGCTCAAGTTGAGACCGAACATGGGATCTCTCTAATCATTGAAAACTTGCCAATATTGGAACCCTTGCAACGCACATTCCATTAGCTATGCAAGACGTATTTACATTTCAAAGAAAGCCTCCCCGAAGTCCCAACAGTGTTGGGTGTTTTTTTTTTCTTCAGGGGGTGTCCTGCAATTGGTATGTTTGGCCAAACCCACGAATTGTTTGCCTTGTGGCAAGACACGAGAGGAGATGGATAAACACCAACAGGCCTACCGTAAGGGTGAACACTTAAACGCTCCGCACAGATCGATTCAAGAATGAATAACACACAAGTGGCTCCCGTCTCATGGCCGCCTCCGCAGGCCAACCCTCCTTACAGCAAATGCGATATTCCCGGGCAGTCCGAGTCAAGGACTAACCGAGCTTAAACCCCGCTTGTTGCATTCCGAGATCCGACGACATCGCGCCAATATCAGGGAAGTGGGGTTCGGTCGTACGGATCCGCAAGGGTTATTTGTCTCTTTGTTAAGTAACAAAAAACGTAGGTGGGCTTCAGCACACAACATTCATTCGGCAGTAGATTGAGCATGGCTGATGACATTCAGCGGTGAAATTGATCGTGGCTTGGGACTGATCAGGACCGATGATAGATGAGAGAAGTGTTCCAAATAAAGTCCAGAATAGAGAACACGGGCAGACTTTATTTGGACTATAATTGAGGTTTTTTTTGGGGGTTAGATCGCGTAACTATATAAATGTTTCGTTAAAACCCGCCACCACCCGACACAGCCAACTAGTAAGGGTTGTCACGTAAACAGAACGTGCCAATTCGTCACTAGTACAGCACACCGGTGGGTTGGAGAGCCAGGCCACAACATTTACAATCTTAGTACGACGTTTCGCCAGTAATTACAACTGATGAAGCTGTAAATGTTGTGGCTTGGCTCTCCAACACACCGGTGTGCTGTACTCGTGACGAATTGGCATGTTCTGGTTACGTGACAACACTTACTAGTTGGGTGTGTCGGGTGGTGGCGGGTTTTAACGACACATTCATATATTGACGCGATCTCACCCAAAAACTTCTATTAAGGATGATATTGGTCGCGAATGCCTACGTGTTAAACATTCATTTTTGGCTATTTACAAAATAATCGTGCTTCATCTCTTTGTGGATTGATCATGCCTGATGACATTCAGGAGTGGGTTGATCACGGCTTGAATTGATCACGGACGATGCTAGACTTTTGTGACAAATCTGGGAAGACAGTAACATGTCTTTCCTTTCCTCTCGCCCCTGACTCCCCTCGTACGTAGTAACTTGGTACGAGCCGGCTCAGGTCACGGTGATTCCACTCGCCTCTCTGCCGATTCCACCAACAGGTACCGCGGCTACTGCCCCCAGTACAAGTACAACGTGGGCAGCACGTACGGGCAACAGACGGGCCAGCTGCTGCGCGACCCTGCCGTGGCTCACTCGGACAAGCTGGTGCTGCAGAGTGGGCGGCCGGTCCAACCGCGACCCCCACCGGGATCCCCTGGTCACCAGCGCATGTCGCAGAGACGCCCCGTGTCCGACGCTCAGAAACTGACAGCCAGCATGGTGCCCGGATACACGGGTGCGTCATCGTCGTCATCATCATCACCATCATCTTATTCTTGGTTCTTTCGGGAAAGTCACGTAAACTCCTTTGTCAGGTCTCTCTCTTCCTCCCACCCAGCTTAAAATACGCTGCCAGGCTTAGCAGTGTTCATTAAGACGATGTCTTTCCGACAGCTCTGTTTCTTCACCTGAGGACGGATGCTTGGATTGTGGCCGAAACGTCGTGAGAATTTTATTATATTATGTTTTATTTTCATTATTTTATTATTTCCCTTCTACGTGACTTTACCGAAAGAACCAAGAATATGAATCCCTGAGGTCACGAAAGCTTTAAATCACCATCATCTTGTTTTCATTTCGCTCTGTCCATCTGTCTGCCTGGAGCACGGTTGGTTTAACGTACGGTGCGAAAGAAGTCTACTTACGTGCATACATCTATCGACTCGTCAAGAAGAAAAGATCCAATGTCAATTAAATGTTTGTATAAAGTTGTGTCAATATTGGTGGCTTCTCCCATATAAAACATGACACGTTGATCAAAGCGTTGAAAACAGTATTGCAGTGTCGGATTAAGCAAGTGTTGGGCCTGTAGCATATGTTATAAAGGGGCCCTAAATAAATGTTAAAACACGTTAATATTAAAACACAACAATTTTACTTGCTTAGTAAATTGTATTTTTTCATTTGATATACAGCCAGATAATACGACAAATCGCTAACCTTAAACACCCAGTCGTTCATAAAAGTTGAAGGCGGTATAGTACTATAGTAATAGAGCAAGTGCAGAATCACTGAACCGGAATTGATATCTTTAAAGCATTTAGCGCGGGGCCCTTGAAAGTGCGTGGTCCGTATCTACCTACATACATATGTAGCTACTTTTGCTACTGGGATAATCCGGCACTGCAGCATTCATGGATAAGCCTCAGCAGCCAATGTGATGACGTCTCACGCCATTAGTCGTCATCTCGTTCGTTCTGCCGCTGAAAAGGAAACAGATTATTGCGAGTCAAATACTTTCGACGCGAAACATGTTGGAAAGGGTTGAGTGTTCAGCAATACTTCTATCTGTGGTCCTATTTCCCCTGGCCTCGTGCCGTGTTGTCGCGCTGTAGCCAAGGGGACTGGACCAGGACACGTGGGCACGTCAGTGTAACAAAGGTTACGGATTCAAATCCGACCCCCCTGAGATCAGATAGCACAGTGCTTCGTTGAGGCCAGCGTCTCGCCATTGAGCAATACGAGCTTTAACGCAAGTACTCTCCCGCTTCAATGTAATGAAGCTGCTCTACGAACCTGGCGAACCCGGGTTCGATTCACGCTCACGGCCATACACCAAGTGACGATTAACTGAACCGGTCCTGGGCCTCCCCTAGGTCGACTCAGCCTCAAATGAGAACCCGGTGCGATGTGTAAACATCGCCACTAGGGAGACAAAGGCGGCCGGGCGTGGTGTTGGCCACCCACCCCCTTGTGTGCCGTGCCGGCCTTCATAGGTGCTCGCTAACAGCACTTGACCCTACAGTCTGTTAAGGCTATACGGGGGATCTTTGTTTTTGTCTTTGTATATTCACGTAAATTAATAACGAAACGCTGCGTGCATGCAGCCCGAATTAGACAGACCGCTGCCAGCGCTCGGTGCACATTGGGACAAACTTCCCCTCCACACTCAGCATGCCACCAACTCCCTGTGTCTCGCGTCCGCTTCTCCCTCAAGAGCCAGCCACCTCTTCTCCCTGACCCGTCCTTCCCTCCATCCCGAGGCACCAACCCCCGTGATTCCCGTACCCACTCACCTCCCCCCCCCCATATCACATCCCTATTTACCATATCACTATTTACCATATCACTATTTACCATATCACTATTTACCATATCACTATTCACCACATCACTTTTAGCTACCCTCATCGTACCACTCGTTACCCTTGTAAAGCGCCTTGGATAAAGGCGCTATTTATAAAGATATAAGATGAAGTTGTTTTGGGTTGGAGCTGTGGCTCGGTTCTTAGCCCACTGCGCTGCGCAACCCGGCGTCCCGAGTTCGATGCCCGAAACCGGCTCACATCAGTGGCGAGGAATTTCTCAAGCGGTCTTGGGCTCGTGCGTTCCCCAAACTCCCTTCACCCACCCGCGTGGCAAAGCATTGTCAAACAACTCCAACACCGAATGAAGGGGGGCAATGGGTTTCATCGTTCAATGGATGGACGAAGGTCTATTACATTTTAATAATAATTATGAGCTATTATAAGAATCATTATTTTTTTACCTGTACTCGAGGAATCCGATGAGCTAAAGAGTTATTTTTTTTGCACAGATGCCCAGTAGGGGCGGATCAGCAAGTTACACCAACAAACAACACAAAACACGAGAGGAGTACTAAGTACTGGATAGGAAAAGTGAGCAAATTACTAAAAATAAATATTGAACTAAACTAGTTTTTTATTTTACAAGATAAAGCCCACTGAGCTATTATCTTATTTTTCAGAAGCGACCTGGGCACAAACGATAGCTCAACAAAGTGGCTAATCATGTGGAAATGTATAGCACCCAAATAATCTACATAGTCATCTAAACGCATGCTTGCAATTTGGCCTCGTTTCAGCTCCGTATAATAAATGTATCATTAGAATTCAGCCACGTTTAACAATGCTGACATTTCAACACTAATCGACCACTAATGAGAGAGCTGGCGATGCCATTGCGCCTTATTTAAGCGCTTATCAGCTCAAAGCAACGCGCGCGCCTGTCTGGGTTGATTAGAGAGCAGCTTCCTATCCCTCCCTTGGCGCGGCGCTTGAGCCAGGCGGGTTCACCAGTCCTATCCACAGGACCCAAAGCGGAACAAATGAAACACTCAATGAATTCAACCTCATTTACGTCATTCGATGAGAGCACGTGGATCCAAACTGTCCCTTTTGCAAGATTAACCAGAGGCGTTGTGCTTGTGATTGATTTATCCGGAATAATTCTGTACATCCGGATGCTTAATTGTGAATGCGTGCTTTGCTTTTAAAAACTTTCACTCACAGCACTTGCCCTCTCCAGCTCTATGTAGGCTATGCGGGGGTTCTTGTCGCGTATGTGTTATTTATATAGCGCGTCGTGAGTGCACAATATCAATTCCAGAAGGTTTAGAGAGAGGACATTTGAAATGTAGATAAGTATATTCTGATCACGGAGTGAAATTCGTAAACCACATTTATTGCAAAACATGGGGGGGGGGGGGGGGGGGGAGAGGCAAAGATTTTTTAACACTTTCGTTGATCGTTTATGAACATAAACACCCATGGAGATTTGCACCTGGGAAGTGCTACATTTGGAGCGTGCTGAATTTTGATATCACATCACATCTTCAATATGCCTGGTACGTTTGGGACTGGATTTGGAATTTCTCGAAGACACCAGTGTAACTATCAACCGCATCAGAACATCAACAGGACGATACGCGCATCTCGTTAAGAGATTGAAAATGAAAGACAATGGCACAGTAGTGCGATTGTGGCCGTGCAACTCGAACTATGAACCTGAAAGTAAGCCACTGCTGTCTGCGCTCCTTCTGTGGAGGGATTGCAAAACTAGACGAACTCTCGCCTGAAGCCCTCTCGTGGCGAGCAGACCTCGACACTGGCATTCATCTCCTTAACATATTGCCATTCACAAGAACACAATAGACGACAGTTGTTCAATTATACTGCGTACGTGTGTTGCTCCCTTTTTTAGGGTTCATCCCACGAGCCGAGTGCTTCTTCTCGCACACGTACGCGGATACGTGTCGCGATGCGCTCCGTCTCTTCGAGAAGGAGCAGCGAGTGGCGACCAAGCGGCGCCTGCAGACAACGTCCCTCGACGGGGAGACCAGGTTCCGGGCTCGAACCTATGGCTCAGCGGGTGGCGGGGGTGGTGGTGGGATCGATGGTGGGTTCCACTCCAGGGGCAGTGTCGCTGAACGCAGAGGAGGCGATTCGCCGAGCGAGCACGTCACTTTCAAGGTGCAATGCGTGTTGTCATCGGTTGTCTGGCTCGGTCGGTTCGTGTTAACGAGCCTGCCGTTGTGCCGATGAGACGCAGAAGGTCGAAAAGGGTGCAGAACTTTCTTGCTTAAACAAATGCTGCTTGATTATGGCATTGGTCTGGAAAGCCAATAGACTGATAGACTAAGACTTTCTTATTTATGTGTGGAGACAGAACGGAGTTCTGCTTAGGGCCCTATATATGCTGCCAATGTTGAGAACGCATAAGCCACTGGGTCAACAAAACTATCCGATGGGATGTCGCTCTTAAGTCTTAAATTAAATGCAAGCGGACCGTATTGTTTAACAATCGTCAGCCCTAAATCCATCTCAATATTGATTCCGTGTGCGGTATAATTTGAGCGCCTTATCTGCCTATGGCATTGAAATGGTTACATTCTTTAAATACGGTACCTGGGTATTTGCATACAACCGTCTGATAAAAAACGTAAAACTTTAATCGGGGTATCTTGACAGATAGCTGCTTGTATTAAGTTGTTTTTTATTATAGGATTTGGTCCTATATTGCGTTTTGTTATGTTGTACTGTCCTGTACTGACACAGGCGTCCTTTGAAAAAGAGGCCATTTATCTCAGCGGGCTGTCAGTTTGTTTTTTAAGGGCACTTACTATTAATGGGTGGAGTGGTGGGGCAGTGGTTAGCACACTACACTACGAAACTGGCCGAGTTCAATTCTTGACCACGAGTGATATTTAAACAGTTCCAAGTGTGTGTCCTGCTTCGCCCCCCTCCCCCTACTTCCTTCATCAACCCACTAACCAATATGGTGAAATATAGTTAAACAACCCCCATGACCGACACAGCATGGGGAAGCAAGCATTCGTCCAGCAGTGAATAAAATGTGTTAATTAAATTGAATATAATGGAGTGTTAGATTTATGTAAAAATAACAATGAATCACAATGAATCACCCTTTTCCGGATGACGAACGCTTGTGTTGCAATCGAAACGTCGTAGTTTTTGTTATTTTATTTCAACCTATCTACGTGACTTTACCGAAAGACCCAAAGAATAATCACAAGGTCATTTTTTATTGAGCAATATTCAGTTTACATAGGTGTGCATAGAGCTGTAGAAATCCCTCTTTGTTTGGTGTCAATCATTCTGGATACAGCAAATGAATGGATATGCGTGGCGTGGGAAGGTGAAGAGATTGTGTTTGCCCTGTCAGATGAAACACATCACAATGCAGACGAAACACCCAGCAAGCCGTGAAGAAGCTCCAGGTGATCTTTACACGTTAACACACGTGACTGACTCGACCGGCTGTGTGGCCCGGGCTGTGACTGTGTCAGATGCCGAGCCGTCCGCTGACGTGCCTGGCCAAGGAAGTGCCCCTGTACCGCTCGTCTCCCGCCCTCCGAGTCCTCAACTCCCCGTACAACATGGGCAGTGACGACCCCTACAAGTGGTTCATGTCTGGTGCGTGTCGAGCATCACGCAAGCACCGCCATCATCAATGACACTGTAATGTAATGATCGTGAACATTATCATCATCATTCATGAACAATCGGCATCATCCAATATCTTCACGATCCATCGTCGGTAGCACGTTTGCCGCTTGTTGCAGAGGTTGGCGGATTCAAAGCCAGCAGGCCGCCCTTGTTATTACTGTCGGAGTATTAATCATTAATGTGCATCGTCTGTTCACAGTGGACACTAAAGGTCCCCTATCGTCATTAGGAATTAGCAGACCATCCTGTGCCGGCTCCTCGGTCCAATTTTTCCAAATTCGAAAAATGACCTGCAAATTCGTAAATTTACACATAGCAATCATCGTCCCCTACTGGCAAACCAATACCTACCGCAAGCTGATGCTAAGTCACCTTGTGTTGCACAGGGACAGCTGCCAATGGGGGTGCCCTGAGAATTGTTTGACGTGAGATGTAAGGCGTTTTGGGTTTGAGTCGTTCAAATACTATATAAATATAACGATTCTTCTTATTATTATTACAATCACCGCTTCAACGATGGCAGCTCCATCATTGCGAGACGCGCACACCAGCCGCAACAACTCGTAAATGCCACGCCGCTGCCACGCTTTCTGCAGGATACACGGGCTACGTACCACGCGAGCGCTTCCTGATCGGGGCCGGGTACCCGGTCACGACGAACCGCGCGCTCCGAGAGTTTAGCTCCAAGCTGGACAGGACCAGCGCGTGGAGGGGCGGCACGATGGCGCCGCTGTCCCCCTGGAAGCCCGATCTCCTGGACGGGATGCGCCCGCACACCCACCACGAAGGCAAGGCGGTGGCGACCTTGACGGCGCTGCCTGGGCACCTCCCCGACATCGTGCAGCACAAGGGAGCGCAGCCACCCAGCAGGAATGTCATCTATGCCCCGGACATGGGCCTCATCCCCAACTACACGGGCTACGTCCCAGGTGCACAACGATTTGCTCGCACTGCTTCCACTCCAGTCGCTCGCTTGACGGCGGTCGGTCGCCTGCTTATCGCACTAATATCGTTACTGTTTTGGCTCATCCACACTCTGGTCAACCGCAGTAGTGCCGGTCAAAACACATCTCTCCGTGCTTCTTTCCTCGCACTGCTCCACTTTGGAATTCCTCTCCCACATTGTCGATTGTTCATTCTTCACCATAGAAGTTGAAGGCGAGAGGGGAGGTCCAGGACAGGTTCAGATATCATTGATGTTCGCCTCCACCGGCAATCAAACTCAGGGGCCCCGAGTACCGAATAGATTGCGCATTTAGCGGCAGCAGCAGCATGTATCCTGTCTATATGAGTGATGCAATGATTGGCACAGTGGTGCTAATCATTGCACCACTCATATATATTTTTTTAAAGCCAATGTGATTTCCTACTCATACGAGCAGCGGTGGATAATGCACATCCTTATGGTGGGGGTGAGTCCATCTATAAGGCAACCACTGTTGACTTCCCCACAAAGTGGTACTCACTTTATCAACCCCGAGTGGGGTGATGGGCTGAGGCAACCCTCAAATAGGAATTGAACTCACAACCTTCCCATTGCGAGCTGCTCACTCTTCCACTGAGCCACCACGTCGATTGCACCACTTCTGCACCTGTCATAAGTAATGTTTAGTATTGTTGCATTATGCTTTGAATTAACATGGGGATGTTGATCTGGGTTATAATTTTTATTCTTGAACCCAAAGAACAGGAATCACAGAGAGGATACATTCCGCGTGTGCACAACATTCTCGGTCCAGCCGCAACATCATGAGTAATTCTCCCCCAAATGGGGGCCGATTAAAGCTACCCAGGATTCAGGTGCTCTGGATTATTAACACGCTGTCTGTGATCTGTCCGTAGGATACAAGTTCCAGTATGGACACACGTACGGCCAACTGACTGAGGACGCACTCGGGATGAGCACCATGCAGAAGGAGATCCTTGCCAACTGAATCAAAGCAAGGGCACCGCGGGCCTAGACAGCCACCATTTTAACCAATAGTATTGTTGCGCATGTGTGTGGCTTAAAATGCAATCAAAATGTTTCAGGGTTAGATTATAATAGCATTTGATATTGCATTTACTGCTGATGTTAGTCAGGGTTGTTTTTTTTAATCTACGCTCACGCTGAAGAGATTTTGTTCTGATCTAAGACTAAGCCTGTACTTGTGAAAGATTTAGGTTCCGGATGCAAAGATTTGATCCACACACGCAAACCTCAACTCATGCACGACCAAATGCAATTGTTAACAATACATAGTTTCCTACATTTGCTAGGTCACATTTTAATTACAAATTCAAACATGCACTTGGAAGAAAAACAGCAATACAAAACAACCGTCTTAATATCAAGACAAAGTGCCGTTTGCTTTTTTTTTTGCAAAACATATAATATGCTTCCTTTTACGGAAGTCCTGCAAATAAAACTTAAATGTTGGGCTCGTCGTGTCAAGAGTCTACTGTAGACACAGCCACCAATAAGATGTGAGCACACAGGAGATTACGCAGGTCGTGGTGGCCAGATGGTGAGGTGAAGCGCGCACACACACGTGCCAACCAACGACTGCACGACATATATCCATTCTCTTCAGTCGAGCTCAATTCTGGAAATCAGCCTCAACGATCCACCCGGGTACACAATATACAGGACCATGGTGGTGCCACACTTACAAACGGCACTGTTTTACATAGGAAGCACCGGCACTTGTCAGCTAGAAGTTTAACGGTTCACCTCTCCACACAATTTGATGATTTGTTGTGATTAGATGAAATAATACATTATTTTCTTTTTTACTCTGCGGTTAATGTAGCAGCCACTGGTGGCTGTAGGGGCTCATGTGAACTAATTGCAACCTAATAAAACATATTTTCAGCCCTTTCTCAACTCACTAATGAAGGCTTTCCTGCTCCGTCACGATCATGGGAGGCTGTTTGACCATACTTCACCACGCTGACCAGCGTAGATTGGTGAAGGCGTCAGGAGGCCAGGATTGGTTCAGAGATCACACAACCCTGATGTTAGCCGTAGCCAAGAATGAACTCGAGTTGCCAGGTTCAGCGCGCGATACTACAAATCAAAAACTTTGATTCTTATGTATCGCGAGCTTAAAAATAAATATTCACCGATGTGTCGACTATCAGCCTTGCTTACTGCAGAACACGAAATGATAATTAAAACTCAGCAAAAGTTATTTACAGTCGTGCCAAAGAAGAATGAAAATGTCCAAGTCTAAATATATGTTTAAAATCACATTTTACAGCACCACGGTTCGTTTGTTGAAAATATCAACCACAGGCATTGTCAAGATTGCATTTAGGCTGCTTGTTTGCTGCAAGCTGTAAACACCAGCACCAGTTAGTATAAACACAAAGCCACGAGCAGTGTGGTAGTCATGGGAGTTAGGGACCTTAAAAGGCGACCAGATGAACGACCTGAAACAAATCAAACAGATACCATTGAGCATTCAACACAACAAGCAACGCGGATGACGGCTTACTTTTGGCTGAAATTTAGCAGGAATGATTGCAAATGTGAATAATTTGTGAATGTACCCATTCTCTTTGGTTTTATCGGTAAAGTCACGTAGGTAAAAAATGTAATTAATAAAATTAAAGAAATGAATACAGCTAAATTGATTTAATTTCGTTGTTAATTTAGTTGTTTTCATTTATTTAATTTTTTACCTACGTGACTTTACCAAAAAAAACAAAGAGTATGAATCCTTACAGTCACGAAAGCGTCAAATCTAGAATGTACCCATTAATAACTCAAACTTGTTTTGTTAAGGCTCCTTCAATACGTTTCTTAAGTTAGCACTGCATAAAACTAAATAATATGGTAGGTTATATTTCAAAAATACAAACTGCATTCCCAGTGAAAAGTTGGTTATCGATTTAAAGATGAGAGTGATACGTGTTTTGCATCGCATTGCATACATCGGGTGTTGCTAACCTAAGTCGTTAAATTTAACTACAACATTCACCTGGCTAACACAACCATCTTAATACAATGGGACCTTGCACATGATGAGAGTTGGGCCTAGTGTGTATGCACGGCACAGTGCGGATGAGCATAAACATTCACATCATTCCACACACATACAGAAGCTCAATGCCACTCAAGTGTAAGTGACATCCACTGCTGGATAAAGGCTTCCCTACACCATAGTCCCCAAATGGGAGTTGAGTGAATGCTTGGTCAGTGTGAATTTGTTTCTGTGGGTGGCCCAGGACTGGTTTAGATATTGCTCGCCACTAAAGTTAGTCATGGCCAGTAATTGAACTCACCAGGTTCACAGCATCGTGCGCTAAACAACTTGCACCACCAATCACTCCCGAATGGCAGTACAGGCTAGAACATAGCATGGGCCAGAATAGGTTACGAAGGAAAAAGGCATTTGGCAAGAGCAACTACAAAAGGCGTGCATAGAAAGGATCTCGTAAGTGGCTCTGCGATATTCGCATCCGCGGGCCGCTCCCTAACATGAACGGTTCCACCGCTCTGCAACAGTTCCAATAACACATTTGCAATAGAACGGAAGGCGGTGGAGGGGGGACAACGACAAATAGGTATATATTACGGACGCACGCACCCCAGCGCTGAATTACTGCGCGATTTCGAGCACGCGCTGCACGGGATGGAAGACGATCGCACGGCCACTCACCCCGTCCGTCGGGGACCGTCTCCCCGCGGTGCCGCACGTTGAGCAGCGCGTGCCGCTGCAGCGGCGACAGCTGCTCCAGCTGCTCGTCCGTCACCGCCTCCGCCTGCGCCGCCGTGAAGTGCTGCAGGCTGCTCACCTCGAACACCACCTGGGGGAAGGAACGCAAAGGGCTGGGTGGCTCAGTGGGGGTTACTACTGGGGATGTTAGCAATGCATCGTGGCAGGTTATTTACGCACTGGTGTAGAAACATTCCTTGGCGGCCCACGCCAAGGTGCTTTTCCGCGTCGACAATCAGTTGTAATTACGTCGCGGGCAGGGTTGCGATTTCCGCATGGAAAATGCGGAAGGAGGGTTCAAATTTTCCCGCATTTCTGCTAATGTCAACCGCAAAACGGTGGAAAGACTACTCCTGTGACCGCGCGCTTTTAACAACACGTTAATGCGTTCTATTGGAAAGGATACATGCAAAGCCCAGCATCACGTAGGGCTTTGAGTTACTGATTGGAATGAATATATGATTTCCGCATTTCCGCACAAGAACCACATACTTTATTCAAATGCGGAGCCGTGATTACGAGCACATGTACATGATGTATCCTTTCCAATAGAACGCATGAACGTGTTGTTAAAAGCGCGCGGTCACAGGAGTAGTCTTTCCACCGTTTGCGGTTGACTTTAGCAAAAATGCGGGAAAATTTGAACCCTCCTTCCGCATTTTCCATGCGGAAATCGCAACCCTGGTCGCGGGACCGTGAGAGATGATGCTTTGGGAAGTCTTCATCCAGCGGTGGATTGATCATGGCTGATGATGAGGAATGATGCATCTATTGTATTGATTACAATTATTATATACTTGCGATGCACGCATCGAAACGTGCATGTGAGAATTGACCATTTACTATTTACACAAATTGTAAACAAATTATGAGCCAATGTTAGATCGGGGGTGATAAAGTGGACAAAATTACAAATGAAACAATTAAAAAAATTGAATGGTTAAAAATAATCAACCCGTTGGATCAAATTGCGACCTCGAATGGTGATAACCAAATTGCTGGGGGCGGCGAGGGGGTGAATCTTCGCGTGTCAGAGCACGGAGCTGCCACCACACAGAGCCTGGGATCAAATTCATGACACAACCCGTCATTAAACCGGAACTCTCAGCCCAGTCACCAATAACCTCACGAATAAACCATCATATTTAATTTGCTTTATCACTTAATTAACCTCACGAATAAATCATCATATTTAATTGCTCTGTCACTTAGTTTGGCATATATAAGTAACGGTCTCGCCAATGCAGGACACGTATGAGGGGTAATTCAAACATTTAAGCTGTTCCGGTGCAGCTCGCCCAGGAAACCGGTGAATGAAACACGTGGCGTGGACTATTGGAACGCACTTCGTATAAGGTGGGGGCACCACGGTGGCAAGTTGTTAACTACCTCGCCTGGTATACAGGAGGTCGTGGGTTCGATCTCGACCCTGACGCCTGCTGTATATTCAGAGTTTGCGTGTCTCTCCGTAGTCGTTTTGTATTTTTCTCTGGGTCGGGTTCTGCGGGTTTTTCCTCCACATTTATAAACGTGCGTTTGTAATTACTTACAGCGAATTTCCGTGGAGGCATAATTGCAATGGCGGTCGATGTGAGGCCCTCGATTTGTTCTTTGACCAAGGCTGACAGGACCACATCGGAGAGACCTACTGCAACATAAAACAAGATGAGGCAACATTCCATGATTGACATCTTTGCAAAGTGTGCCTTTATCCACTGGTGGATGATGGCCTCTTCCCACCATGCATGTATGTATGTTGAACTGCTTTCACAAAGAACTTAGCCAACAGTGCTACTCGGAGGTGCGGGGGAAGGACAACAAACAGAACACAAAAAGCCGATCTAAAGAAATGAGTTACCATGTTGGCAATGGGCCATAAATCACCACGTTGGTGGTCATTGTGGTTTGGTGAATAGCAAGGTTGGGGAGAGAACGCGTGACAGCTCAGATATCACTCGCTATTGATGTTAGCCGTGACCAGGATTCGAACTCAGGGGCTAAGGTCACCTGGTCCATAGTGCAGTGCGCTAACTACCATGACAACTTCCCCCCAACCTCGATTGCCACCGAAGCCGGATTTAATTCCTTAAAGTGTGCGAATCATACGAAGTTGAACACCGGCCACAGACCCGATCGTGCGGTACCTGCAACAGACCCGATCTCCGTGAAGACCTCCAGACCCCAGTTGCTTGGGAGGCCAAAGGCTGAGGAGCTCATCGCCACCTTGACCAAGGAGTTGAGCTGGGCCTCTGTGCAGCGCAGGCTCAGCCTTCCGATCGCCAGGGCTGCCCGACTGCACACAATTCCGGTGGCACGAACACCCCTCGCACTGTCCAAGGCTTTCTATGCTTGGATTTCTGTTTGATGCGAAGCCTCCTTTAGCACAGTACTATTATTCCGGCTACTCCAAACACAAATTCGGTCGAAGTTGGAACATTGTTGGAATGGATCGCGTCGTTCTTACGTCACCACACCTGATGGAGTTCAATGTCTCAGAGCAGTCAGGTTGATTGATGATCCAGCCCTCACTGGATTCACTCCGGTCACTCGCTCACCACCTCGCTTATCGCCCTTCTGTCGCAAACTACCACAGTTACTGCTCTCATAAACTTCACGAACTCATTCCTCCACCCGTGCCGAGTGTGGAAGAGTAGGCTAAATACCCTCGAGAGGAGCTCTCCAGAGCTGCCTCGAGTGTGCAGGCTCTTCCACCGGAGGTGGTGTGAGCGAGAAATTCCAGGGCCTCACCTTTACCCTTAAAATTTTGACAGATGTATTTCCTTCCCTGATATAAATCTTCATGTACCTCGCACGTGGTCTCCACTTGGGTGGGGAAGTGAGCTCAGTTTTCCCCGTTAATGGGGCCCTGTCACGCCTAAATCAGGTTGCCGTTTGCGTAATTTATGTCCCCCCCTCCGTTCTATGATCGGTGTATTGTACCGGGCATGTGTTGAGTTGTAGAAATTTTACAAAGGCAAAAGTGTTTTGTGGCATCTCCCTCTCTCTTCACAGAATCCCAAGGCTCCTAAGAATTGAATCACGCCCTTTGCCCTCTGTTTTTTTCCAGCAAATGTTCCCGGCCCTCTGACCTGTACTGCCGCGCGTTGATGCGCGAGATGTCGGTCGGCGTCATGCCGCAGATGAAGTGTCCCAGCATCACCAGATCGGTCGAGTCCATCTCCGCCACCGATGACCCACTCCTTTGTACGAAACTCCGGAAACCTGCCACCAACTGCAGCCAAGCGACAGGACATCAAAGTGTGTCCGCAGTGAAATGCGCGAGCCACCACTCCAACCCAGGCGGTGGTAATCCCATGTACAGCCTTTAACAGGCTGTTTGCGGCAAGTGCCATTAACAAGCACCAATAAATGCTGGCACGGCACATGAGGGCTAACACCACAACACCACACCTGTGGTGATGTTTATACACCACACCAGGTACTCAATTTAAGATTGAGTCGACCTTGGGGAGGATCAGAACTGGTTTAAACATTCGCCACTGTTATTGGTCGTGAGCAGGAAAAGAAGTCAGATCGCTGGGGTTAGAGTGTGGTGCACTGATCACTGCACGACCGATAATGAGGTTGAAATGCATCACATTAGTCCATTTAACATGATAATGAGGTTAAAATACATCACATTAGTCCATTTAACGTGAGAACACATGTCGGTTTAACAAAAACTTTTTGACAGAAAATGTAAATGTACCTCCTTTCATCATTTTGCCAAATAATCTTTTAAAATGGTTTTTAAATTAGCATGCATAGCATTGCAAATAAAAGATTGACTTCTGTGCAGGAAGATGTTTCGCTGCTAAAACCAAGGTTAATATAGTGTAAGTTTAGGACGTAAAATTTTCACACGTGGCTTCGAGTTCAATCACACGCAACAAGCACGAGCAATAAAAACGTTAGGTTTAACAATGAAAGATGAATCATACATGTTAGCGATAACCTCTCATAACACAGTGTAGGGTGAGTGGGATGACCAGGAGGTGAGAGTGGGGTAAGTGTGAGATGAGTGTGGCATGAATGTGAGCCTAGTGGCGTGAGTGCGAGTTGAGTGTGGGGTGAGCATATGATGAGTGGTGTTAGCGTAGGGTGAGCGAGTCAGTGAGCGTGAGGCAAGCATGGGGCAAATATGGGGTGAGTGTAAATAAAACATGGGGTGAGCATGGAGCTAGCGTGCGGTGAGCGCGTGGTATGTATGTAGATTGAACTTTTTTCGCACTGTACTTAGCCAACCGTGCTAATCAGAGCTGCGGGAGGGTGTGTGGTTAGTATTGGGTGAGACCAGGGTGAGCGTCTGGCGAGCGTGTGGTGAGCGTGTGGTGAGTGCGTAATTAGAGCCGTGTGAGCTCGGGGCACCTGCTTGCGGTCCCATCCCTCGAGGGCACCCAGTGAGGCCAGGGCGGCCGGGTCGGTGAGGTCCAGCTCAAGCAGCTCGCGCGGCGCGAGACGCGTCGCAGCGCGGCCCAGCTGCTGAATCATCGTGGGGGGCAGCCGCGCTGCTCCGCCATGCAGCTGCAGGGGGGGGGGGCAGCAGAAGGAAGCAGTCGGTATCGTCATCATCGTCGTCGTCATCATCCTCATCATCCAGGACATTAACATCATCTCTGGAATCACCAGTAGCTTCGTCGGCACTCTTGGCATCATAATGATCATCATCACCGGTATCATCAACATGATCACAAAAATCTATGCAATCAGCAGCATGATATTCATTATCGCCAGTATGATCCATTTGTATCATCATCATGCTCACCATCATTGGTATCATAATCACCACCAGCAAAAAAATCATAATCATAATCATCAGCAGCTTCACAATCTTGTTGTTTCCAGGTTTGTTATCCATGCTCGGAATTCAGAAATTCAGAAGTGGGGTTGGTAGATCATGAAGAGAGGAGAGTACGGATTTTTGGGATGCCCCCCTGCAGAAGCAATGAGGTGGGTGCCTGCATGGGGCAGTAAAGAAAGCAGGTTTCTAACAACGCATCCACATCCAGGGCTTGAGTGCAGCACTTCCCCCGTGTGAGTGGGTCTTCTATTAGCACTCTGGTTTACATCCATTGACACAAACAAAAATCAAGAGAAAAAAATACCGACCAACTATTATTGCTTTACAGCAGTTTTGACCTCAAGGAAACATATGCTAATCGAGCAGCGAACACCTAATCCCTGCAAAGCCTTTAAATTGAGATATCGTTAATTATATCACCAACTAATAAAGAGGCCCAAACACTTACAAATGTGTAAGCGGCTACACAGGTCAAGTGTGCATCAGTAATGTGGGGGTTTTTATTTCAAGCTTCGTGGCAAAGGAATGAGAGCCATGATACACGATGGCAATTTTAGGGCAACCGTTGCCAGCGTTTGTCACCGAAAACAGTCGCCGCAGCGTTTTCTATTGTAAAACATTTAGTTACCTGAATCTGGACCAAATCCGAGAGAGGCCGTTTGGCATGAATGGACAACTGGGATGGCAAATACCAATCAGATCACAGACTGAGGTCACATGACTACCTGAGGTTGAGCGTTGTGCAAAACAATATTTTTTTAGGCAAACACACCTGCTTTCATTGACCAGATAGAACTCTGACAGGACTCGCCGCTCTACGCCACGAAGTTGACATGGCTGCTCATAGCGAATGCGCTGCCGGTGACGATCGCCCGTGACGACTGCCTTAAACTTGCCCCTACTTGTATCATGCTATTAAACTGGGAGAGACGGGTGACCAAGAGGCTGACCTGTCCCACTCTCTGCATTATGGCCGTCAGCTGCTCGGGCGAGAGGTATTCGTCAGCCCCCAGTGTCTCCAGGCAGTCGTAGAAATCCTTCCCAGACATCCGCACCAGCTGGCCCGGGGTCCACACCGCGGGGAATGTGGCCTTGATGTCGGCGCACGTCGGAGCTGAGAAGGAGGAGCACCAGCAGCACAGAGTACAACACGTGTCCCGCGTCGCCTCACCAAGCTAGACAAGGGTTAGCCACAACTCGGGATAGCTGAAAGTGTCACTGAATGCTGCTAGATGAATAATGAAGTCGACACCAAAAACACTCCGACCGAAATTCTCTTCAAACGGTAATCAAGCTGCACAGTAACAGCGTGAAGTGCTATGGTTAACTTGTGTAGGAAATTCGAGATGCCCTGCTTAACATGAAGATGCTATTCCTGAATTTCGTAATACAGTTCATAGATCCATGATAGAGGTTTTTGGGTTAGATCGCGTAAATATATAAATGTGTCGTTTAAACCCGCCACCACCCGACACAGCCAACTAATAAGGGTTGTCACGTAAACAGAACGTGGCCAATTCGTCACTAGTACAGCACTAGTGTATAGTGCCGTAGTGTATAGTGTAGTGTATAGTGTGGTGTATAGTGTAGTGTACTAGTGCAGCACACCGGTGTGTTGGAGAACCAAGCCACAACATTTACAATCTGAGTACGACGTTTCGCCAGAAATAACAACTAGCTTCATCAGGCGACAGCCAGATTCGTGGAGAAGTCTCTTGCTGTTTCGTTCCTTATATAGAGACGTAGATGTGTTGACCACCCTTCTGCGCTCTTGCACAATGATGGGGGGGGATTACTGAGGCAACGTACCTTATGCATGTGCATTATGCGAGCCCTTTAAACTTGTCCTTGCTGTCTATTGTGTTTATTAAAATAGACCTACCAACGGTAATCCCTATTTAAGTACGCTGCCCTTTGTAGGCGTGCATTTAAATAATGATTTATTTGATGATTCACTTCCACGCAGCACTAAGACGGTAGCTATCCGAACGGTTAAAGTTTTTTTTTCAATTTCGATAGATTCTCTAATTCGTCTTGGTCAGTAGTAGCTAGTTTTGCACAAAACTTCAACATTATCAAAATCAATTGAGTGTCCTTGTTGGCACGCGTGTTCTGCTACTGCTGACAGTTGCATTTGGAAGAATTTTATATTTCTCCGATGTTCTTTTAGTGTCGTGCTGATCATTCGTCCTGTTTGCCCAGCATAACATTTACCACACGTGCAATTAATCCTGTACACACCTTCTGTTGATAGCTTCGGCAATACATCTTTTGTACCAGATATTAAATTCTGTGTTTTATGTACCATGCCAAATCTGACTCGTATGTGTTGTTTTGAAAGCCTACATGTTAAACTGACAGTTAATAGAAGTTCTGTGTATAATATTATTGTTATTGTGCTTGTTTACCCAGTAAAGTCTCACTGCGTCTCATAACACTTTTTTTGGAGGGTCCTGCCAAGTTTTCAAAGTAGGGGCAGAAGATCGCTGCGTATAATCCAAATGTGTACTGTACTAGCAATTCTCAAGCTATACACAGCATGTACTTATCTATCGTATGGCATTTGGTGAATCCATGCTCTTGAATGCCATGCATATCCATACGTTATACCAGGTCTCTCGCTCTCTCTCATTGTCAACCCCAACCATTGCCCCACCCTTTGCCTGTACAAGCCTAGCCTTAGGCCCGAACATTTTAAACTAGGACCCAAATCCAACATTTTCCCAAATGCTTCGGGACACTGGCACGTACAGCCTTTCTGAAACCGGGTAGACCCAGCAGAAACCAGGAAGCTTGGTAGCTTTCCCGATTGCCTATTAAAACCTGCCCGACATACATCTCCACAGTAGGATCAACCATCTGCAGGCCACCGCCCTCACCTCCACGCTGCCCGTGCTCCATGTGGGAGCTCCGCTCGGCGAGAGCGCGAGCCTTGCTGAGCAGGCCCAGCCGGGCCCTCTCGCCGAGGCGACGCGTGCACACCCTTCCCACGGCGCTCGCCTCCCAGCGCCACTGCGCCCGCAGCACGAACTCCACCACCTCCATGCTCAGCACCTCCTGCGGCAGGCAGCGTGGGGGGGGGGGGGTGCGAATCCAAGGACTTGTTAGTTAACCGGTACGCATGCAGAGAAGTGCTTTTTAATCAGACAGGTGAGATGGCGTATGCCTGTAATTCAGTCACTTGGATGTGGGATGGGTAGCTCCAATAGAGATAGAATTTGTACGATATATTCACCGGCAGGGTAATGTCTGAGATTGCCATGGCAGAGTGACGGTACAAATTTGCCACATTTTAAAATGACGCACAAATTACGGTACTTAATCGGATAAAACCATATAGCTACATCATCCACTTACTGGCAAACTATATCCATCTGTGTAACACAGCACCTTCACCGGAGCCTCTGTGCCAAACAATGGCGTGAATATAAAATGTACAAATGATTCATATTATAAAAATTATAAAAGTCTCTGTATTGTGCAGTAACGTATATGCCACGAGGTGTCACCCACCTTGGGCAGCTGGTAGATGTCTTCCAGAGGCAGGGCAAGAACCAACCTCCCCAGCTGCTCCACGGTAGCCAGACTCCACATGTCAGCACCCCTGCAGAAGCAGCAGCAGCAGCACCACATCGTTCACCGTATGTGGTGGATGGCTAGGACGGAAAGAACTTGACCCCCTCAAACTCTCTACACAGCTTGCATTCAAACACGGCCTCTGCAGAAAAGTCTCGAATGGAATTTACTTCTACTCCTACAATTTTATTGTACCAGGAAAGGCCGACTGAGTTATATAGCGCTTTTTCATAAGCGACCTGGCCACAAATGATAGCTCAACAAAGTGGCTTATCGCATGTCAATTTTATAGCAGATGTATACTCTAAACGCATGTTTCAACATATGGAACCAGAGGACCCTGTGAAAAATCCAGGCGGTGTTACACATCACTGACCCGAGGGCATCGTTCTGCGTGAGGATGAGTCCCAGGGCGTCAAGCGTTGGGGCCGGGAGGCAGTACCCGTGCAGCTCGCCCAACCGCAACAGCAGCTCCGGGCGAGACATCCTGCGCAACACTACCTCCTCCATGAAGCCCACGAGGAAGCCCAGCGAGTCGAGGTACTCACCGCCAATCTGCACAGCGGCTGGCAGTGGCTGCAAACATATGGAGGGAAGGGACGGGGAAGACAAAGTGTAATTCTCGCCACGGACACTCCAGGGTTTTTCAAACTCAGCTGCTTGCCTCCTACTGTCCTGCAGGCCACAGGCAGTGGCACAGTTTTATAAGTGGAGGGGATAACTGACTTGGTGATGGTGAGGAGGGGGGGGGGACTTTGTGAGAGAAGAGATGCCTCGGATGCGGAGCTGTAGCCGAGGGACATGGCACGAGGCAGCTTTTAATAGGCCAGCAAACACAGGTTTAAATCTCCGACTTAGATTGTAGCATCACGGCAACAGCATCTGTCCACTCCTCCCACCCACTCCCGTGATGCCACCTACGGCACAGGCTTGACATGTTTTCTCATCTGGAGCACGCAACAACGAATAAGAACTTAATGATCTATTTGAGAAAGAATTAATGGACGTGGAAAAGTGGAGTGGAGGAGGAGAGTGGAACCAGGAGCGGCTTCTTGGTGTTTGCAAACGTTCTCTGCGTTCGGGTTGTTGCCGCGTGTTATTCGGCGGCATTATCTCTAACGTTACGTCCAACGTGCTCGGAGATTCAGACAGGTACTGAGAATTTTTATCAGTTCCGGAAGAAGCTCCCGGTGACACATTGAGCGAAACGTTGGACATCGTGCCGAACGACACGCGGCACAACCCGAAAACACATCTGAGAGCTGCACTGCACAGCCGCGAAAACGAAAACCCGTGGAGTCGAGTCTCCTGTTCACGTTTCAACGATGTGCGTTTGCTGAAGAAGGGCTCCACCTGCTGAGCGAGAGGCAGCCCTTGCAAGCAGAGGTCGCAAACGGGTTTTGATTCCTAACCCGTACCCGGCCGCACCATGGTCGCAAACGGGTACCCGTACCTGGCCGTACCCGTACCCTACCCGTACCCAGCCGGGTACGGGTAGGGTACGGGTATCGGGTACCTGATTGCGACCTCTGGGATGAAGCCATGTTGCAGGCGCGGGTGGGTTGATTCTAGGAACTTGAATTGTGAGAAGAGACAAGACGTTGGGAAATGAGTGACAAACAGTTACTCACCAGTGACTCACGGCCTACCCGTACCCGTACCCGGCCGCACCAGGGTCGCAAACGGCTACCCGTACCCATACCCGGCCGGGTACGGGTAGCCGGATATCGGGTAGGGTACGGGTATCGGGTACCCGGTTGCGACCTCTGCTTGCAAGAGCCGCTGCTCGAGCTGGTTCACAATTCAGCCCATTGCTGTTTTACCGCACGACGCGCTTGTTCTAGCCCAGTGGCCAGAGGTCGCAAACGGGTTTTGATTCCTTACCCGTACCCGGCCGCACCAGGGTTGCTAACAGGTACTCGTACCCGGCCGGGTACCCGTACCCTACCCGTACCCGGCCGGGTACCCGTACCCTACCCGTACCCGGCCGGGTACCCGTACCCTACCCGTACTCGGCCGGGTATGGGTAGCCGGGTATCGGGTAGGGTACGGGTATCGGGTACCCGGTACCCGGTTGCGACCTCTGCCAGTGGCCCACAGAGTGTGGTCCGCGAATGTCCTCCAGGTGGGGCCGCGGTGGCTGTGATGCAAATGCACAGGTTGATGATCCGGAAATAACTGTTTTGGACATTAATTCATATTTTACTAATGATATTAAATTGAAAATGGAGTGAGGCAAACTACCCAGATCAAACTACCCTAACCCTAAGATCTAACCCCCCCCCCCCCTCTCAAAACAAAAGTTTCAAAATATTTGAATGTTCCGGTAATATTAATAATTTCGTAGCACTGGTATTTAGAGATAAGTGAATGCGTTTTGTCACCATGAGTAGGGGGGCTTGGCGGTACGTGGAAATGTTTTCTTATTTCACACCGTACGTGTAGCCAACCGTGCAAATCGACGGTGTGGGGGAAGGACAACAAACTAAAACACAAAAAAGCAGTTTTGAAAAAATGTGTGAGGCTCTAGGGCAAATTGCACCTTTTGCCCCTTGCCCTTGGCAGCCCCTTTTTGCTGGACATCTCATCTTGTAGTCCATTGCTGCGATGCTCTAATACTCAACTTCCGTGTCAGCATGGGCCCATGTGGTGGACAAGGAGCTGCAGCTACAGAAGTGTGAATGTCTACTCGATGTTACCGCTCACAGCTGAGAGTTAGAATAATAAGAAAGGCGTAAAAAGCTGTTTGGTTCTTGAGCTGGTGGCCAGAGCACGATTGGGACACGTGTGCATATTTCCTTTGCTCAGGAGCAAGCGCTGGATAAATTATGTGAAGAAAAAAATAGCACTGTGCTCACCATCTGCTCCAAGATTGTTTTTGTCAGCTGCCTCTGCTTGGACGGTTCCAGATTGAGGAAGTGTATTTGGTTTTGGGTGATGATGTCCACAGCCATCTTGAATGCTTTGCTGGGAAATGAGGAAAGCGTTTTCATCCTAAACAGTAAAATACAAAACATTGCACCGTTATAAAATTTTCATATTATAATAATGACAACTATTATTTTAACCAGTATAATTACCATAATGTGGTAAATATTGATTAAATGTTTATTATATGGTGTTAGAGAGCAATTGTTAGCTGAAAATACAAATGAATGAAAATCTGAATGAACAGGGAACATCAGAAAAAACAATGCTTATTATAGCTGTGTCAGCAGTGGTACACAAGCACCAATAACAAAACCACAACACTTCTGAATAACACTGTCCTAAAGATCAAATATTAGGCAACATTTCGGGCAATGGCCCTTCTTTATGGCAGTGTTATTGATGAATGTGCTGAATGAACACGGGATATTTTTTCACGTGATATATTACTGTTTCCATAATTATTGTCTTTATTCTAGCTTTATGTCACTTACGGCAACTCCATGACAAGCTGAGGTCCCATCAAGATGATTTCTTCCACGGTTATTTCAGATTTGTTTTCAATCCAAGCCACAATGCACTTGCACTGTGGACATAGAGAAAAGACGTGTGTAAGTTGAGGCCACGACAGCCTTCAGAAACCAACATTCAGTCATCAGCTTTGACCATGCGAGACTCTCACCAGAGATGTCCTGACCACCTCTGCCACCAACAACAGGTGATGCACCAAACCCAGAAACTCAGGATCCTGGGAAAATGCCATCAAAGTCTCACAGTCCACACCTTGAAAAACCGTCCCCAGAGACCTGGGTGAACAAATATATGTTATTGTCACACTGTGCATTCATGTATTGACAATGTCACATTTAACCTCAGTTTGGCTGAACAACGTGGCTCTCAAAGAGGATTTCATTAGCAAAGAGGATGATTTAAATGATGGTGCTTTGTCATGCTGTTCATATTTCCAGAACCAGGGATAAGCAAATGCACAAATAATAAATAACAACAATGAAATCTGCTTTCCATCGTGCAAGTTAGTTTAATGAGAGTGCATGAGCTGACCTGGAGATGTGCATAGGAACATTGAGCAGAGTGACTGGTTGTGATTCCTCACTAAAGACACCTACTGACAGACAACTCAAAAGAAGCATGAGTGTCGTTTTGTAGAATTATAAATAACAAAACAAATAAGCAGACGACACGGCCGCTTTACACATCCATCTTTTTCGATAAACAATTCAAAGTAAATCTTACCCAGCCCCTCAGCCTCACGGCCTTCTGGGAGCTGATGGCCACTCCTGGAAGGGAGATGTATTGTCTGCTACTGATAGACAAATAAATTACAATATTTTTCCAATCACAATTGAATGTTTTAAAATGTTTATTTTAACCATCATCATATTACTATGATATACTGAAACATGTTCTTTGTGTGTCCATTATTTACCTTTTATTTGCCTATACTCTGCACTCCTATCGTGTTTTTGTATTGTTTGTTGTTTTAACGTTCTGACCCGCCCCGACTGGACATCTGTGAAAAAGAGCATTATAGCTCATCGGATTTCTTCAGTATAAATACATGTTCTGATTCTGACAAGGCAGCACAATGATGAGCCGCTGTGCAGGTGCATGGCCACGGTGGATATATGGCACCGATCCATCGCTGATCCCTGACAGTAAGATCCCTTACAGTATAAATTCCTTTTTCAGCTCTCCACTGTGCCCCTTGAGAATCCTTCTGAAAAGGGACTGTGCCTGCAACAAAAAGTTCAGAAAAAATTACATTATATATAAACACAACAAAACATAAATAATGAGTGAGTACTGATGCCATCATCATCATCAGCCATGAATGATCTACCGCTGGATCATGGCCTTTCTATTACCATTACCATCTATCACAGTCTTGTGATGCAACAATCCAACAACCACTGCTGCCACACAGACCCAGAGCGGGCACCGACTCCTGAATTCACCTGCTTGCAAAAAGGGGCCCACACACCTGGTGAGGAGTCCAGTTTATGTCGGCGAGTGCCGGAAGGCTGGCAGCATGCGCCGGGTAGCGGAAGTCCAGGTCAACCAACGGCAGATCAGACAGCAGGGGGCCGAGTCGCGCGATCCACTCCAGACAGTCAATCTTGGAGCGCTGGGTAAAGTCAAAGGATTCAGCATAGACCCTGTGGTGTACTGCCCAAATGTGCACTGCTTGACAATATTAATTGCTTTTACAATGTGTCATATGATACAAAGTTGGCCTGGTGGTTAAGACACTGAGCGAGCACCACTGGGATCCTGGGTTCGGTTCCAGGGAACAACTGCGTAATTAAGTATGGTGATTATGATCAATGACTTTGAAAAAAGGCATCACATTACATTGGGTTTTTCATGTAAATAGGCTTATTCCAGCTATGAGACTTAAACATTCAGGTTTGATTGATATGTGATGACCTTTGCAGGTGATCAAAGATGTTCCCCTCATGTGGATAAAGAGGCCTTTTGAAGTAGTTTTTGTGACACCAACTTTGTAGGGCCAATTTGTGTTTCGAGGTGAAAGGCCCATTCAGACAAAAGCCTATTTTGCGAGGGAGACTTGGGGGAAAAAGGAAATCCTGCAGTGAATGAACAAAAGAGCCAGGTGAGGGAGGCCGACCCTAAATAGTTGTTTTAAATCGTTTTTTTTTGCGACTCAACACGAGCCCAGTACAAATCACCGGTCACAGTACAAGGGGGGAGAACAGAAACTCTGTGACCAAAAATCCGAGATTGGCGGCGCAAGAGCCTAACGAGGGGGGAAATTCTGTCTCTCTGACCCACCCATGTGCGAGAACATGAAAACTGATGTGGGGAGGGGAGCATGCTGACCCTGAATGTTGAGATGATGGCCGTCCTCTGTGCGGCACGCAGGCAGGCAGCGTGGGGCCTCACTGCCGGCCAGCCCTGGGTGAGGGCCGCCGGGGGCAGAGTGCGCAGCATAGATGGCGGCAGCCCACACACCAGGCTGCCCAGCTGCCCCACGACCTGCGCCGTCAGCTGGGCAAGAAGAGGCACACACGCTGTGTGAGCACAACTTTGGCGACCTGGAATAATCTTCATCAATTGTTATTCCTTGTCATTATCATCATCAGTCCTGAGTAATCCACTGCTGAATGAAGGTCTCCCCAACCGTTACCATTTCTCGCTGTCCATGGAGGTAACAATTTATGCCCTCAGGTGTGCTTCCTCCATTGGCTGCCACTCTCTCGTTAGTGTCGACGCCGAGGCCTTACCGGTCGGACATTCCTCCTTTTTTTATTCACTTAAATTCGACCACATGTAGTATCATAGGTTCAACATGATACAATACGTTGGTCATTAACCCTGGTGTAAACTTTGTGAATAGTATACTAACCTAAATAATAAGCACTATCCAAGTTAGTTAACAAAACATTTAAACCTGCTTGAAATCAATCTCTCTGCAATCAGTGCAGTGGTATAAATGGTGTGTTTCAAAACGACTGCAGTGAACGCCTTATGTAACGAAACAACATTTCTTACTTGTCTCTCGTGAATGAATTTTTCAGCAAGCACTCGAGCCTGCAATACAATACGTACCATACGTTCAAAATAAACAGATGCACACACACGCAAATACACACACGTGTAAAAAAATATAACGGGGTGGTTTCAAATACATCATCATTCAATGTTTCCTATTGTCCCACCCTCCCCCTATCCTTGGTCTTTCCATAGCATGTTGGTTTTACGCCTTTCCCCTCCCCATTTAAATCTTCATCTTCCTCTCTACACACGCGAGGTCCCCATTTGGTTGGGGCCGCAGGGCCTAAACCCCCCCTTCCTTCCCCTGTCGTGTGGTTCCATCGTGCCGGAATCGATTACCGCGGATTCCCTGTAGCACCCCGTCACTGGAATATTTCGTCGCGTTGTACCGGGCTCACGTTTTGTTGCAATGAACTGCTTAGAGACCTGGGAATTAAGGGCCAGAGCCAACGTTCGGCAATCAGAGCTGTATCGGAGGCGGCAGAAGGCAGCAGTCAGTGGCTCTGGATGAAGAGGAAAGACTCCAGCTGGGCCCCAAAGTGAGAGGGCCAGGAGGTATGCAGTCAACAATGCTTGACTCAGGGAGGAGGACGCCCCTGCCATGCAAAGTCCCATGGGATGTTGGCTATCAACAACAAGGCAACTCCTAGGACTAATTGGGAATGGGACGCAAGCGTAGGATTGATCACCCTGTCGCTGGCCGCCTTTGGGGAGGGTGTATAGTATGAAAGGCTGAAACACCCTAGGACCCAAAGGTTCACTACTGACGATGCGCTCCCCAAATTTCACCAGGCTCACTGTTCATGAACTCTTGGAAGTGCTTGCTCAAAGGATAGTAACATCTCATCCTGTGTTCTTTGGAATCGCCGTGCACTCTCTGAGTTAAAAACACTGTCAAGTTCACTCCAAGTCTGACATTCGCCAGTCCTGCAGAGACATCTATCAGCTGCAGAGGCGCTGGAGCAGGGCCCTGCCACAACCAAATGTCATTTTGACCCCAGCCAAGTTCACTCCGCTTCGCTGTGAATCAATTCCCTATGGTGAGACCCCACACACAACATCCCTATTGGGCCCCCCCCCCAACATCTTTAGAGCAGCTGGAGCTGGGCCTGGCAGGGACTCGCCCCGAAATGTTTCTCATCACTCTCTCACAGAACAGCAACCACGCCTCGTGACGAGCCACACAGATGCCACCAGGCTGAGGCAATTGCCGCGTGACCTCCACTCAAAACCAGGTGCCACCTTAGGGACACTCTCGATTCCAGTACCATGAATGGGACATAATTTAAATATAATTTACAGAAGCCGCTAGTCAGACCTCAGGGTGCTGGGATGGGTGGCCACACATGCATAAGACAAGGTGTTGGAGGCTAATGGGGGAGGGCTACAATATGAGCAGCAGAGGGCAGCAGAGAGTAGTGCAGCAACACCGATTATTGCTCCTACGTCCATGCTTGCAGCATTCACGAACCCACGCTGACCAGCGGGATTGAAGTTATGGTAAAATCCACCCTTCCCCCCACAACTCGCACGGCATGGGGGGCCCTCATCCACCGGTCGAATGAGGGGCCGTCCATAAATAACGTCACGCGATTTTGGACGATTTTTGACCCCCTCCCCGCCCCTAGTCACACGGCGTCACAAAAAGTCAGACCCCCCCCTTAAATATGACGTCACAAAGCACTGCCCCCCCCTCCAAAAAAAACATGCTTCAAATCGCTTTAAACTATTGTCATTGTAGTGCGTATTTAATGTGGCGCTGCACTCTAATGTTGTAGAACGTGTTGTGTATATTTATTTAAAGTTGCGCATATTGATGTGACGTCACATTTCTCAACCCCCCCCCCCTCGTCACACATCGTCACAAATGTCTGACCCCGCCCCGCCCCCCTAGGTGCGTGACGTCATTTATGGACGGCCCCTGAACAAAAAGCGCCGCACATGTAACACGTACAACAACACCGAGACAGATACGGGCATGTTACATGATAGGCACACCGAAGCCAGAACCGACCTGTGCCGGAGCGTAGGTGATCGAGTTGATGTGGCGAGCGCCGGCTTGCACCAGCTGGCTGGGCAGCTGCTGCGTATACGCCAACCCCAGGGCCGGCAGGAGGTAGGCCATCTCTGCCAGGTCATCCTGCGTCAGCTCTGAGGCCTCAGCGACGCCGAGGTTCTTGGCGATGAAGAACGCGAGCTGCACGGGAGGGAAAGATGACGAATGGCCAAGAGCCAGAACTCGAGCACCACAAATTCATTTGCACCTTACATAGCCACCCGTTGCTAATCAGAGGTGCTGGGAAAGGACACCAAACGACGGGTCTCTGTAAGTCCTAAAGGTCTCTGTGCGAGTCGATGCACAACAAGCAGTTCTAAAGAAATTAGTTTTCAATCTACATTTAAAAGTGCATAGCTCCAGTGGCTTCCTTATATCCAGAGGCGTAGCTAGGGGGGGGCAGGGGGGTACATATGTCCCCGGGCGCCAAGGTAAAGGGGTGCCAAAATGAGGCTTACAACGTTACATTATAACTTATTGCGGCGGGCGCGGCAGCCTGAAACTACTGCACAAATCTACACCTCAACCTAAAAGTTTATATATCCCGCCACACACAGCCTACATGTCATGTAATTACATTTTGGTACGCGCGCCTATTAAGAACTTACATGGAAGAACGTCCCAAACAACAGACAGGCGCAGTCTTTCAGCCTTAGTCACTGGCCTGTTTTTTGGTGGCGGAAACTACGACGGCCTGAAACACACTGGAGTGCACTATCAGAAGCTGTTAAAGCTATCTACGAAGGACTGGATGAACTAGTAGGGCTGCTAGACAAATTATCGGAGGACGTAACTATGACACCTGAAACCAGAAGTGATGCAGAACAGTTACAGGCATGCGTTTTAAATTTTAACTTCATAGTTTTATTACATTTCTGGAATGTCATTCTTGGAAAAATTTATCGTATTCAGAAGCGCTTACAGGATCCTACTATGAATTTCAAGGAAGCAGCAACTGATCTTGAATCTTTGGGGCATGAATTTGTCAAGCTTCGTGATGATTTGAGCTAATTTGCTGTAGAAAACGCCAAAACAAGATGCACAGCCTGGGAGATCGATGTGGACAGAAGAATTAGGCGACCTCGGAAGATGCCAGGAGAACTGGTAAGAGATGCAGGACTTTCAGCAGAAGAAGAAATTGTGCGCGTTATGAAGAGCGTATTTTATCGACTTCAACAGGAGATGTCAACACGGTTTTTACGACTAAAAGACCTGAACACAAAATTTGGATTTCTGCTGGACGTCAAAACTCTTCTATCCGACACAGATGTCGATGCAATTCGTCGAAATTGCACAGATTTTGGAAATTTCTATGATACCGACATCAATGGCCACGAACTTTTCACAGAAATTGGAGATTGCAAAATGCTGCTCAGTAACCGGAATGAAGTTCTACCAGAAACTCCTTTGGATCTTCTTGGTTTGATTGTGTTTTATGGAGACGACATATTTCCGAATTTGCGAATTTCACTGCAAATTTTATTAACAATAGCAGTTTCAATTGAAAGCTGTGAGCGGTCGTTCAGCAAATTGAAACTTATTTTGTCGTATTTGCGTGCTTCAATGGGACAAGATCGTCTCAGCGATCTTGCTCTTCTTAGCGTTGAAAGAGAAACATTGGAAAAAACTGATTTTGATTACGTGATTGACCAGTTTGCGACAGTGAAATCAAGAAAAATTAATCTTTTGTAGACTATGTCAACCAGTCTACGACAGTGACTGAGTGAGCCATGTAATATAATTTCTATAAATTTGCTTCTTTCAGTACAATGTTTCATTAAAATTTAAATTATTCCTTATTCGATGTAATAGGAAAATGTGATTAAACGGGGGGGGGGCGCCAATTTTATAGTTCGTCCCCGGGCGCAAAATATCCTAGCTACGCCTCTGCTTATATTGGAAGGAAGAGCGTTCCAGACGGCCGCAGAAGCGCATCTGAAAGCGCGCGATGCAGTGACCCTCTTTCCTTCGATGGCTAAGCCAAAAGCCGCTGCGAGAATGACCGGAGGTCGGATGATAGTTTATGCTGCTTGAGAATGGTTGTAGGAGTGTTGTTATAACAATTAGTGTTATAACAATTCTATATTTAAAGTTGCGCATTTTGATGTGATGTCACAGTTCTCCCCCCCCCCTCCTCGTCACACATCGTCACAAATACCTGACCCCCCCCTGGGTGCGTGACGTCGTTTATGGACGGCCCCTAATCCACTTCCCGTAGGCGTCGAGGTTCCATATTCTGGCTTGCCTTAAAGAAGGCAGGTACCGCAACGTGTGGACTGATGTCGTCTGTTGAGATCTGTATGGGGGGAGAGTGCTGCCCCCTCGCACGCGTGACTATTCTCTGGGCACTCCGGTGTCCTCCCACACGTATACACACTCGTCATTCATTGGCTGAAAAACATCTTAATTGATATGCCGCCCCCACGTGTTGTGGATTGTGCGGCGTCGTGCGATGCCGTTTGCATAAATGACGCCGTATATAAATGCTCATTCTTATGAGTAGGACTCTTACTCTCAACTGATCAGCTCGGCGATTTATAGTGACGTATTCCATTACGTGCTGCAAATACGCGAACTCTGCTTGGTCGTTCCAATCTTCCGTACGCTCTTTAATTTCCTTGGAGCGCAACTACTCGCTGAGATGCGGAGAGCGCAAACGCAGGGAGTTGAAGTTGCGCGACTTTGAGAACAACCTGCTTGTGCAACTGATCGCTCGAGTTGTGAATCCGGCTTTACGCTCGCTTGTGAATCACCTCCATACCTTGCCGTCAATGTCAATGGCGCCCTTCTCTATGCAGGAGATCAGGGCTTGAAGGACGCTCCGGAAGACGGGTTGATTCCCCATCAACTGCGCCAGGTCCTCTGTGTTTGTGTAACACAGCACCCTGCCAAACCTGCACGGCGAGATGCTACACTTTTGAAACTGCACGTGGTTGTAGCGGCCATACACGTAAACACAGAGACACTCACCGCTGTTTCAGTGTGAGGAAAGGTGACCAAATCAGCAAATCAAAGTACCATGAATGTGCGTGTTCTCATCAGATAGGTATGAGCTTGGTTAGTACTTAGATGGGAGACCAGCAGGGAACACCAATTGATGTGGACTTGGGCTGCGAGATCGCTGCATGGAAGTACAGCAATGGATTCTTGAATCCATCTGTATGAAGTTTTGAGTGTTACCCCCCACGTGCTGAGTGGAATTGGCCACACATTGCAATGCAGGACCCACCTTACTTCGAGCGCTGGAACTCAGTGAGGCTTTCCTGGACAGTATGTTGATCCATTGGTAATAAACAAAACAAAACCTATGGATTTGAAGCTTTCGTGCGACCAAAACGTCGTGTTCGATTATTATTTTTCTATCTACGTGACTTTACCGAAAGAACCAGAGAGTATGCCAACCTATGGAACTTTATGTCGGCGTGCATCGTGGGGTCACACTGCAGCTAGATGAGCTGTGGCTTACGCACACCGCTTATCATTTTCCATCTCGCCGTTGAAAAATCCCCGACGTCGCACCTGTGGACGTCTCTCTCCGTGAGGTTGCCGGTGTTGCCGTTGAGAGCCACGTGGCTCACGTGCCGCCAGTGCGCCGTGTCCGCCGAGCTGCTGTCCAGCAGGCTCACCACCGACAGCACCTACGCGCGCAGCGGCAAGGTTTGTGGGGCGGTGGCAGGGAATGTCCGGGGGTCGAGCAGCGAGCGTCAAGGAATACATAGGCTGAGAAGTGTTGTGACCCACGGCGCACTCAGCCTTTATTCGAATGTGTAAATATCGCCCTGGATAAAGTAAGGCACCGGTGCACATTGCAGCAGAACGGCAACGGTACAGGGGGCATGGAGCAACAGGAATGAGAAAAGAAACCCACCACGACCTCAGCGGCTATCACAGACTGAGCGAAGTAAATTGCAACGGCGTGCAAAATAAAGTGCAACCGTGCGCAACGAATAGCAAAAGAAAAAATAAGTAGTAAATACAATAATTAGTAAGTAAAGAAACTTTTGTTTTTTACCTTTTTTATTTTTTATTTAGCGTGTTCAAAAAGATTGTGGTACCCGATGTGGAAGCTGGTGCTATATTCATACAACGTGCTCACCTGCTGGTCTGTGAGCTGCACGAAGTACCCGATGAGGAGGCTGGTGCTCTCTTCATACAGCGTGCTCACCTGCTAGTCGGTGAGCTGCACGAAGTACCCGATGTGGAGGCTGGTGCTCTATTCATACAGCGTGCTCACCTGCTGGTCGGTGAGCTGCACCAAGTACCCGATGTGGAGGCTGGTGCTCTCTTCATACAGCGTGCTCACCTGCTGGTCTGTGAGCTGCACGAAGTAGCTGATGGGGAGGCTGGTGAGCAGCGGCGCGAGTGACTCGAGGAACTGCGGGGACCAGCCGGCCACGCCGCCGGGCCGGCGTGCGACGTGGCGCGCCAGCGCCTGTCTCTGCTCCTTGCGCAGCGCCGGGCACGACGCCAGCGCCGCGGTGAGGCTGAGGCCGTCACGCGGGGCACAAGGCAACCATCGTCACCACGGGGGCTGCCGCGATGTCACTTTTTCACGATACGATTTGAAACGTTCGGAACGTGACGCCGTGAAACAAAATTGCTTCATCCGGTTAGGGCGCGAGGCTCGCGATCATAAGGTGATCGCGAGTTTAAATCCTGCTTTGGAGTTGACTCACCTCATCATCCTACTGGGGTCGATACGATGAGTACCACTTTGTGGAGAAGTCAACAGTGGTTGTCCTATCTTAATTTTGGAGCTTTCGTGACTGCAGGAATTATTCTTTGGTTCTTTCGGTAAAGTCACGTATAAAGATAAAATAATAAATTAATTAATAGCATACGACGTTTCGATTGCAACACAAGCCATCATTGTCCTATAGCTAGACTCGCCCCTGCCATGGCAATGTAGAATTTCCACCACTGACTCAGAGCTGTAAATGGGAGATGAGCACTGGCGGCTCAATAGTCATTTGAGCAAGACATCACTTTGACTTGACTTTCACCGCGAGGTTGTTTGGAAATATACGATGCTACAGTAATTTTTGCAATATGGCGCCGTGAAACTATTGCAACTATTTTTACTTTACCAGGTAAGATCCGCTGAGCTATATAGATATTTTTCAGAAGCGACCGGGCCACAAATGATAGCTCAACGAAGTGGCTTATCACTTTCGATTTAAAGCTTTCGTGACTGCAGGGATTCATGACCATCGAAACGTCGTGAGAATTTTGTTTTATTTTTCTTATTTTCTTATTTCCCTTCTACGTGACTTTATCGAAAGAACCAAGAATAAGAATATGGCTTATCACTGTTTCTAAACGTGAGGGAAAAACCGGAGGACCCGGAGAAAAACCCACACGTCCACGGGGAGACAGACATGCAAGCTCCAAATATACAGGAGGCGTCAGGGTCGGTATTGAACCCACGACCTGCTGTATACCAGGCGAGGTAATTAACATCTTGCCATCGTGGCACCATTGTCGGGCTTGCTCTCCGAGCGCGCAACAAACGCACACACTGGGGCTCTCGAGCAGTGTGGCCGGCAAGGCGGTGATGTCGGCGGGACTCAGGTACGGCAGCAGCTGCACCATCTCCAGGAAGATGTCCTCTGTGAGGTTGTGGAATCGGCGCAGTAGTGAGCCGACCATGGGCTTCAGCAAGTGCTCCGAGCGTTCCTCCACCTGTGTGAAGGCCAGCACAAGCACTTGCGGTTCATTAGGCAACTTTAATGTTGCAAAAAATTTTATCTCTGATTATGATTGACTTTTCTTACCACATTTAGAATGCAAATTTGCTATTGACACCATGTGATCAGACAAATGTCCATCTGCTATTTTTGCAAGGGACAATTGCTCAATTCTCAGCCTCTTTATCAACACAAGGGACATACCATTGGTATACCCTGCAAACAAATGTTATTGTAAATCAAACTAAAATGTGTACTTCTCGGAGGTCAAATAAGCGATGATGTTTTGAGCAGTCAATGGTGACTTGACTGCAACGGTCAACTTTACTCACTTGAGGATCCAGTTGAATCGTGGGTGGCTGCCCGGATTTTAATTGAGGATCTCAGTGGTGCCAGCTCAGCATTGTGTCGTGGCCGCCTCGCCACAACTTGAACATTGTATGTAGACTTGCGAACGTGTGCCTCAAAACCACTAAAGTTTGATTGTACGTACAGTCCTCGAGACTTGCCAACGCCAGACTTCCAAATGGGTCTCAGGAACGAATTAGCTTCGTAAACCGAGGACTGCCCATACTGAATCAATGCTGCTGAAATGATGCACTCCCAGACGGCCATGGAGCAGTGATTTGTGTAACAGAATACTGTTACGTGTAGAGACGAACATTTGAAGGAGACATTCCCTGCTTATCGATTTATATACTCCACAGCGACGCCAATCATTGTTTTGTGTCATGCGAAGAGTGTGTGGTGAACGTACGGAGAGGTCGTGCCAAGCCTGGCGCAGCTCGGACAGGAAGTATCGCACGGTGACATCATCGCTGGAGAAGAGCACCGTCTCCATCGCGTGGCTGGGCAGGCGCAGGTACTCCTGACACCAACCGGGACCCAGCGCACGCAATCAACAGCTGGACAATGTCGAAGTCAAGTCGAGCCGTCTCGGCTTTGGTGCTGCCCAGGGGACCATTTCTGCCTCCCGATATAGACACGTCTGGTTGTGGCTGCCGGAGACGCCCTAGCCATTGTTCTATGCAAGCTGCGTGCTTGTCCTCTGTGAGGCATGGATTGCGCTAGAGCGGCTAATGCTGGTGAAATGTTTTTTAGTCGATGGCCAATTTGCGTGACAGTATATGCTTTTGGGCAAATGTGATAATAATACAACACAGTCATCCTCAGGTTAGCCCTCTATGACCGCTTGAGTGTTGTTAGCAAGTGCACATTCAGGCTGGCATCACACAAGAAAAGGTGGTGAGGCCATCGTCATGCATCGGTGGTGAGGTTTCAGTCGCTACGTGAGGTCGTATTTTAGGTTAGGTTAACTTACTGTATAGGAGATGCAGAAAAGGTGCAGATGCCATGTATGGCCATGAACTGAGAAGAGTGTTCTAAACACCCCAGCTAATGCGCATACACACGATTACAACATACTGACGCATACACACACACGACGTGGAGATCATCTTTGTCAATAATCTTATGAATGGGTACTAAAAAGACCAAGCTCAGGTCCAACGATCACACCAACTCAGGCAACAAAGCGTTCCACATGCTGAGAACTTCAATTCCTATGGCAGCTCCCAGCACATGGAGCAAAACGTCGGACATTGTGCAAAACAGCACGCTGCCCGCAAACACAATCGGAGTAGAAATGGCACTTCAATCCGCTGGAGGGAAAGTGATCCTTAAAGTTCTTTTGTTTTTCCCAGAAAACATAAACAGGGTCTCAGAGAGCCATACAGCACGAATCGTGAGTGCCTATGCAGAACAGTTGTAAGCCGCGAAGTATATATGTAGATTTGTTGAACTTCTTTCGCACCACCGATTCGCATGGTTGGCTACATAGGTCGACAATCGTGCTAAGGGGACGTCCATAAATGACGTCACGCACCTAGGGGGGGGTCAGATATTTGTGACGGGGGGGGGGGGGGTGAGAAATGTGACGTCACATCAAAATGCGCAACTTTAAATAAATTTAGACAACACGTTCTACTTAATTAAATAGACTTTTTAATAAATGTTTTCTCCTACAACATCAGAGTGCAGCGCCACATTAAATACGCACTATAATGACAATAGTTTAATGCGATTTTAAGCATGTTTTATTTTTGGGGGGGGGGGTGGCAGAGCTTTGTGACGTCAAATTTGAGGGCGGGTCTGACTTTTTGTGACGCCGTGTGACTATGGGGGGGGGGGGGGTCAAAAATCGTCTAAAATCGCGTGACGTCATTTATGGACGGCCCCTAATCAGAAGTTCGATCGAACGAATAGCACGCGCGATATACGTCACCTGCAAAAGGAAGAGAATTTCCGAGGAGTTTTCTGCGTAAAACATTAAATTCCACAAAGTACCCTGTGGGAGAAAAAAAACACAATGTGAGTCAAGAGAGATGTTAATGCTCACGCCATATACATTACATTACCAGAACCCAGCACAAATTACACACCACAACTAGTGGGGAGATGGAGTGGGGAGATTACCGCTGCACAGAGATCGAAAGATCCCAAGAGCCGATGTGTTTATTCCTAAAAACTGAAGATGGTACTTACGACCATGAACCGTGGTTGCGCATGATATCGTCGGATCTTGGAAGCTGAGTAGAGTTGAGCTTGGTTAGTACTTGGATGGGTGACTCCCTGATAACACCAGGTTATGTCGGCTTGGGCTACAAGGGGTGGCCTGGAGATGCCAGTACAGTAATGGATGTTTTAATCTACCTGTGTGGTGGAGCTTTGAGTGGTTTGCCTCATTTGCATGACTTCTCTTCAGGCACGGCTACTTCAGTTGCTTCCCACATGTCAAACACTCATTGATGGAACTGGCTAATCATCCCAATGCAGAACCATCCAAAAAGTATAATCTCAAAACAAAGTGAGGCTTTCCTGGGTAACGTAGGGGTATTATTATTATTATGCTGCATTATATGTGTAGGACTTGAGTTATAGCGCGCCACGCATTCTCTTCCACTGTTGCTATGCGAGCGAGCAGAGTACAGTGGGGGGTATGTGAGGACACGGTTGTTGTTGTGGCATTAGGTGAGAGGGTTGTTAAGTGTTGAGATAGGTGTTCGGGGTAGCCGGGGGGGACACAGGCCAGCGATTGGCTAAGAGGGTAATTGGTTATTAGCTGGCGTCCCTCTGGCGGCAATAACAAGGTCACGTGAGACCGGGGGCCAGGGGGGCGAGTAATAAGCGGGGGGTTGAGATAATTAATAAGGATTAATTGGTGTGGGGATATAAGCCACAGCACGCCGGAGAGAGGGGGCTTTTCTTGGTAGGCGTCTTGGATGGAGCTGCAGCGACGGTGCCCGGGGAATCGCAGAGCAGGCGGTGACGGTAGTAGAGCAGAGATAGAGTGGGTTAGTGGCGACAGACGGAGTAGAGTATAGAGAGGCAGTGATAGCGAGAACGCAGTGTGCGAACAGGGGTAGCCATGCATCTGAAGGATGCAGTGTAGAATAGCAGGGGAGTCGACAGACCTAGAGAGAGAGAGGGAGACGCGGAGGAGACGCGGCGGGGCGGGAGAGAGAGACGCGGACCGACGCGGAGCGGAGTGAGGGCACGGAGAGACGCGGAGTGGTGGGGCTGCAGAGAGAGACGCGGAGCGGAGTGAGGCCACACCGAGACGCGGAGTGGTGGCGCGGTGGAGGTGGACTGTTGAGCGGAAAATAAAGAGAACAGAAAGACAGCCGAGTACGAGTCCTACATATGTACGTTGACTTCTTTCACACCGTACGTAGCCAACCGTGCTAATTGGAGGTGCGTGCGAGGGAAGGACAACGAACTAAACGCACACACAACAACAACAACAAATCATCGCAACAAAACTACAATTCCTTGTAGGGGAAACAAATACTAATTAATAACAATTGAATTATTACCAATCTATTATATAATTACAATACCCTCCCCATCTCGATGATGCTGGATGTAATTACCAGAGAAACGTCGTACTCAAAATTGTAAATGATGTTGATTCACTTTTCAACACACCGGTGGGCTAAAGTAGTGACCTATTTGTCTTTTGTAAACGTGACACATTTTTTTACTGTTTGGCCGTGTCGGGTGGTGGAAGGTTACGACACATTTATAAATAACGCGATCTAACCCAAAAAACCTTTATTATGAATAATATTGGTCGCGAAAGCCTACGTGTTACACGTAGCCAGCCGGGAAAAAAAAAAGCAAGACCCACCCCAAAGCAGGACAGCAGCTGGTAGCCCTTGTCGGGAGGAACGCTGTGCAGGAAGCCGCTGATCGACTGGAGGATGCTGAGCGAGGCGGTGGGCTTGGCGTACGCCTGGAACGCATTGCTGCTCAGCAGGCTGAGCAGGAAGATGGCCTCGTCGATGTCCTCCACCAGCTGCTGCCCAATGTCCTCGGTGGCGAGACGCAGCCAGGCGGTCGTGATCTCGGGCTCGGCGGCGAAGCCCGTGCCGTCGCTCCAGACGAGGGACACCAAGTTTTTGAGCAGCGATGGCAGCCTCACGCACGTTTTTACCGAAGGATCTTGCCCGGGGAGAGACTCCCTCGCGTTTTTGCTTCCGACCGACGCGTTACGGGGCCGCGCGCTTGGCAAACGGTTCCGTCTTACCGGACCGTGGTAAGTGTCCGAGCCGTTGTACGCAAGTGAGTCGAGGCCACGGGCAAGAACCTCCTCCCCTTGGGTTATATTTGTCGATGCAATGGTGGTAGAATTGGGTACGGAGAAGTGTGTCTCAGTCGTATCATTGAAACCTCTTAAAATAAACTTCTTTATGGTGTCAGAATGTGCCGACAGTTCTCCCGTGGACATGTTGGCCACCAGGTGGGCCATGGTGGTTTCTGCTTGAGGGCTTCCGCAGAATGCGTGCAGCCACGGAAGGTCCGTCTGTAAGTTATCAAGGAGGCTATTGTTTGCACAGAAAACATTTCGTACTGCCCACCACATGTACACGTTGCAGATTTCAACGACGTTGTAGCTGAAGTTGCGTTTTGCGACGACGTTCAAGTCCCGACAGTGCAAAGTAATCTCTTCTAGTTCCTTCACGAAAAACTCACTGCCGGAATTTGTTGTGACGTTACTTTCCTGATTGCAGTATTTAACCAGGACAGAGACATTGTAATCCGTGGGATGAGGGTAGGAGCAAATGGCACTGATGAAACGTGCTGGGCTTTGATCGAAGCAAAAGTCTAAGACACTGAATCCAAACGGCTTCACAAACCACAGGATGTTGTCGCATATGAAGCCGCTTTCCGTTCCTCCGTGTACCTTTTCGCGCTGCAGGTAACTGCAGCGAGCTTGCAACCAATGACCAGGACTAGTACTGGCCTCCGAAAAACCGTCCCCATTGCAAATCGACTCGTTGAAACGAACCAAACTGACCCAGCCGCACGTGTACACAATGCCAAAGTTTTCTGACATGTCCGACATCCGGGAAACATTTCGACACGCTGCAAAGGCATCCTCGAAGTTTGCGTCGTTCATGACAGTGCTGAAGACGCTGCAGTAAACGGACTGGGCCATGGAGCCCGAGTAAGGTGGCTCTATACCGCACTGCTTTTTCACAGTCTTCTGCCCCTGTGCTTGGTCGTTTTCAAAGAACTTGGAGGCAGAACGGGGCCCCTTGGCGAGGGAGTCGCGTGTGTGCTGATGCGGGCTCTCGGAAAGTGCGTCGTCATCGCAGGCGGCAAAGAGCAGCAAGGAAAGGAGATCCTGGAGACTGAAGCCCATCCCTTGGTGGTCCCAGGTGATGTTATTCATTACACCCCTGGCGGACGTCCAAACAAGATGAACAAGAAAAAAACAAGGGAAGGACACTCCAGGCAAATCCAACACATGTTCAACCTGGCTCCAAGTGCCAGCAGGGGTAAATAATGCCAATATGCTGCACAATGTATTTCAAATAACTCAATTACTTTATGGTAAAATGTGTTTTAAGTGGTGTGTAAATTAACCTACCAGAGAAGCAGCTGTCTTAAGTCAGCTGAAACAAAAACAGAAAACACACATGGTTTTAATTATTTGACAAATTACAATACAGTATTTCACATTATGCATATGAAGTTATGCTTTACAGTTTGTATTGAAACAATGCATGAATATACAGCGAAAAATTAAGCAAAACGTGAACCCTTCTGCATCTCCCCCCACACTCACCAACCCACACTGAGCAGCATGGTAAAGGATGGTCAACAACCACCATGACCAACGAGGCATGGCGGTGCCTTCATCTATCAGTGGATTGACGAAGGGCTGTAAATGATTATTATCACGACTGTTACAGCGTGGAACAATTGAACAAAATACCCTCGAGAGGGGCGCTCTAGCGTAGGCCCTTCCACCAGCAGTAGCTTGAGCAAACAATTGCAGATGCTACACCTGTACCGGTTACCAATACATCGAACAGTGCGCCAATGATTGCACGCATTTATCGCGTTCTAAGACCTGACATTCAATTACGATCTGGTTTTACGCTTTTTTTCTCGATCCACGCTCTCACCTTCTTGGCAGAACTGCCGAGGATCCTGCTGATGCTGCATGCCCAGCGTGGAAGCGGCTTCCTCCAGCAGGAAGCTGTTCACCTCCTCCATCTTCTGCACCACGCGCCTGTAAAGGCGCGTGCCGATCTGGTCCATGAGGTTGCCCGGGAGGCTGCGCAGGTTGTCCATCTCTGCAGTGTCGTAGCCCAGCACGGCTTGCATGAAGCGCCCCGCCGACGACACGGCCTGCAGGGTGCTGCCCTGCACGCCCAGGACGCTCAGCATGGGGGTCACGGTGTTGAACATCAGCTGCAGGTCTCCGCTGCTCGTCACGGCTCGTGACAGGGCCTCCAGGAAGCCCACGGGGTCGCCGCGCACGTCCACCTTCAGGTTGTTCCTCAGGAAGGAGCTGAGGTTGCTCCAGGTCTGGCTGGAGATCAGGCTGCGGATGATGCCTTCCAGTGGGCTGGCGAGAGGCCCGCACTCCTCCGGGTGCTTGTCGCCAAAGAGGACGCAAAGGAACCCGCGCAAGGAACTGCCCAGGTCTTCGACCATGCCTCTGTCCACTGGTGAGCTGTGGTTGGAGAAATAAAAAATGTTTTTGTTTATTTAAATCACGGTTGTGGTGCAAGGCCCAACAGGACCAAAATGCACGGATGAAGGTTTCTTGAATTGAGAGAGCTTGTCAAGAGAGAAGATGGGAAGGAATTACAGAGCCGAGCAGTGTAATGTGCCATTTTATTGAAAGACTGTGTTATCTTGGTGTGACCTGGGACTTTTTTTTATTGTTGTTGCTTTTGCTGCCTTGCCCAAGTTTGATAAACTGTAGGTAATTTGTTATTTATATTAACTTGCTTACCACTTTCTCTATTTTGCACTCCTATCGTGCTTTGTATTGTTTGCTGTTGTAACTTGCTGTCCCGTCCAGACTGGACATCTGTGAAAAAGAAATTCATAGCTCATCGGATTCCTCCTGCAGTTTAAATTAAGATTTTGACAAACATTCTCAAGGAAAAAGCAGAAATAGAAGTGTTTTTGACCTGATTGTGCTGGTTGAACACAGTATGGATGGATGGGATTACACAGTCAGTCTGATAGACCGAGTCTTCAATACGGGTGAAGTTCATTGGGACAGTTACTAAATGTTGTAGCAACTCGGAATACTCATTAAAGACTGTCATGAAAAATGGCCAGTAACGAAGAGAACAGGAGTAATATTAATTATCGGAAGGAACAGTAAAGAATAATCAATATAACTGCAATTTACTATACATAAATTACATGCAAGATATGACCAACTTGACAATACAGTAGTTTATTCACAAATTGTTTCTTCGACCGAATGGGGGCGCCACGGTGGTGAGGCGTTAACTGCCTCGCCTGATATACAGGAGGTCGTCGGTTCGACCCCGACACCTGTATATTTGGAGTTTGCATGTTCTCCCCGTGATTGCGTTGACTTTTCTCCTTGTCCTCCGGTTTTTCTCTCCAAATTTAGAAACATGCGTTAAGAGCATATGTCTGCTATAAATTTACACGTGATAAGCCACTTCGTTGAGCTATCATTTGTGGCCAGGTCACTTCTAAAAAAGAGCTAAGTAGCTCTGTGGGTCTTGCCTGGTAAATAAAAAATAGTTAAAAATATATAGTAAAAATTTACCTTTTCCGAGAAGTCTATCAAAATCTTTATTCAAAATTAGAGTCTGAAAGAGAGAATATGTGATAAAAGATCATAAAATAGGTCATAAATGCTCATTAATGGAGTTTGGCCAATATCCTAATATAGGACCACAGAACTTTGTCGATTGCCGGCATGGGTTTGGGTGCATTCTCGGCTTTCCTGCGTGATTCCTCGTGCCTCTTTCCACAACATTGAGATCCAAAATGCATAAAATATATACCGCCCTTCCCTCTCGACCCTTATTATTAAAAACAATAAACAAGGTCAAAATATAAACCAAGAGACAACCCAACTGTATATGAAGATACAGCAATAAAAGCATGCAGTATGACATTTAAATGGAACTTTAAATGTCAGAAATGTCAGTTTTGATAAAAGGTTCACAAGTCATTAACAATGGTGACAACGAACGATAAAGCGTGACGATGGTGATGATATCACTATATTCAATCGTAAAATCACCACACATGGCAGCTTGGGAAAGCCTTCATCCAGCAGTGGATTGACCACGCCTGATGCTAATGATAAATCTTTATGATAAAATACAGCCACAGCAAATTAAAGCCAAGGAGAAAATAACAACTATTATTTGTTTCCACGTACAAAAAAAATAAACATTCTAGATTTGAAGTTTTTGTGACTGCAAGGATTCATACTTTGTTTTTTTCGGTAAAGTCACGTAGGTAAAAAATAAATGAAAAACAACTAAATAAAAAAAGACAACCTGCTGGAGAAAGCTTGCGCCACTGAGAAGGCGACCTTGAGCCAGCGGCTCTCCACCTGCCGGCTGAGCCTCTCCCAGAGTCGCGCTTGCCCCATGGTGCGCACGGTTTCGTGCAACGGTGCCAGGATGGTGTTCCAGCCCTTCACCCCGCGCAGCACCAGCAGCACGTCCTCCAGCTTCAGCGTGACCCGCTGCCCGTTCTGCCCTTCCCTCTCGACCCTCAGCACCGTCTGCAGGACACTCGCGAGACCGGAGAACGAGTGTTCTGGCTTGACATCGAGCGGTGGCGGCGGTGGCGGCTGTGGTGCGGAGTCTGCTCCCTGCGGCTCCGACGGGGGAAGCAGGTTGTGGAAGTGGAAGGAGAAGTTTGTGATCTTCTTGTCGGCACCCTTGAGATGCGAGAATGCCGGCGGGTTCCAGTGAGAGCCGTCGATGACTCCGAGCAAACGCAGCCCCTCGATGGCGTAGCCCACCACGTCTTGGAGCTTCACTTGGTTCTTGGCTCCGTGCTGCCTCGCTGTGCCGATGGCGGGGCTGCTGTCCGATCTGATCGCCGAGCCGTTTGTTTGTGGCACGGCAATTGTATTGTTGATCGATTTCCTACGCCCTGCTGAAAGGGCTAAGCACACGCGCGAAACAGATTTTTTTTTGTGTTTCAATTATTCACTTAAAACGTTAAATGACAATTTGTAAGTGATCGTAATAACAATAAACTGTGCCAAATTAAGCACTGCAAGATAAAAAAAAAATTTGTAAGACTTACCTTTGTGATTGGTTAGGATGAGAAGAATACCAACGATGATTATCCTCGATCGAGTTGGCGCCATGGTTCGAGACAAACGCACTCACGAGTCGTAGCAAAATCCCTCAAATGTCTAAATCCAGCTGGCGTTAGGAAGAGAAGTCTTAAATGGAAATGTGGCGAAATTCTGCTGCTCATTATCCTGCCAAAACCGCGGACTGGTCAAACGCAGGTCCGTCCACATTCTGTCCAGTAGCTCTCATCTCGCTTTCACTCCAATGGCAAGCATATCTCATTGTTATTTGGCCATTATAAATTATCAATGTGGCCTCTGAGCCGTGCAGGGAGCATATTGAATGTCACTGCATTGGAGAGTTGTTTTTAATTGAATTAACACACGCCTAAATTTAGTGAGCTCAAAGCGTTTGCAAATAGAATTGCAACATTCCGTGTTTTGTTTTGAATGAGATTTCCAATGCTGTATGCATAAAGTGACAAGTAAATTGTAATCGCCTATCCGCTTAAATCACATTTAGTGTGTAATAAAAACCCAGACTTCACTAATTCCACTCAGTAATGTTGAAAGGTATCATGTGTTACATTGAAATTACTTTACTTAAAACATTGCTTTTTAGTCAAATAACTTGGGCATATACAGCACATGCTAAATATAGTATTTCAAGGCAAGTGGTAGAAAATTATATCTGAATAACATTTAATGGCAGCCCTCCATTTAATAAGAGAATGTTAATCTATTTTCATTATTGCCATAACATTTAAACATTTTTTCAAAATTAACTATGATGAATGTTAATCATATGGTCTCCACACAGTATTTAATTCTTTAAATGCAAATTAGACGTCTTATGAACAGTTACAACAATTTGTCATCATATTACTACTTTTGATTAGTTAGCAGATAAACATGTTAAAGACAACTGGCATTTTGTCTCAAATAATAGAATCCGATAAACCTAGATTAGACTGCAGAATAGGTTTAAGTGCTACTGATTTACTTATCAATCAGCAATACATACATTATACAAAGGCCAGTTAACTGCCAACCGTTCCGACTCAATTGCGTTGATAGAAATGTAGGGCGAGTGAATGCCACCTTCAATCATCTGCTTTTATGTTTGCTTCTGGCCGAATTCTCTTTAGAAATAGACAGCTTAGGTCGCATTTCAATTACTTATTCAGTTGTAACCAAACCTAAACCAAAGTTGTACAACTCAACTAATTGGGGCGCAGACACTTCAGGCTACAGATCATTCCCAGTGTTTTTTCAGAAGGGCTATCATAATGTAATTCTACAATTAAAACAATAACTCATTCCCAATTTATTTCTTAAATAGTACAACCAGAAGTGCAGTTATTTTTTTGCAATAACGAAAAAAAATGTATAAGAACCAGGTATTGCACCGATGTTTTGTGAAAACATTTCTTTTATCCTATAAAAATACCTACCTGAGCATGTTTTAAAGCAAAACATTCCTAACTAATTAATGCCTTGTACATGCAAGACACCTTTACCATGTAATCTTCGCAAGGATCACTCAACAATACAGTTGGCTGGGGGACAGCTGTACTGATAAATATGTTGTTGATATTAACTTTTTTTTCTGCCTGTAAAATACTTAACTGAAATATCTAGGCTGCAGAAATTGACAAGCATTAAAAACAGGGTGTGCACGACGTAAATGTTTAGTCCACAAGCTAGACTTACTACGCATTTATTTTATTTAAGGTGTAGCTATCAAACAATCTCTCTCTAGTGTATGTCAATTATGTGGAAGTCACACGTCCAAGTTGAAGTCTGAACCATGCGATAGTTTCAGGAGTTGCGCAACTAACACTGCTCAGTCCGCCGGAGAACGGGCGTAGAGTGCAGTTTTTTGCGATATGGTCCACTGTCTGGCTCGGGTGGCCGCAGTCACACTGTGGGTTGTCTTTAATTCTCCACTTGTGGAGGTGTGCACAACGACCAGTTCTGAAGCAGTTAATAGAGCATCCTAGATTTTTTTTGGCATGTCAAACTATGTACGTGAAATACAAGAAAAAACATTCAAACACCAAGATCATATCAATTGTTAATTCGATTTTATTATTCATAGAATGCATGTTAACAAGGGGCATACACCCAAACGTTAACTTCATATTTTTACTAGTGCTCCATCATTGACATAAATTAATATTTTAAACAAATTTCAAAATTAATGTAAGGAATGTGTTTTTTAACTGGGGCAACTATTTATTTTGCAGTCTGTGCACTACAGACCAATAGTGAATTGCAGCAAAATATGACTCGGATGCAGGGTTTTTGCAGCTGATGTTTTAAAAGTGTTGATAAATAAAATAAACAAAGTAAAATAAAAGTGTTATGGCTTCGATAAACGTCTCTATAAATGTCTATTAGGGGTCCAATGCAACCAAACATTGCAACAAATTACTATTAGCAGCATATTTACAGGTAAACATACCGAAGTAGTAACAGTGATCATCTAAATATTGCCACAAAGCTAAGCCATTTGCCAAAAAAAGTCTAAACGTAGTAAGATGTAACCTCGAAAATGGTGTTTCATCAAAGGAAATAATACATCGCTATAAAATTCAGTGTGCACCAACATTTTGACAGCCTTCAGTTACCACTAGCTCCAAATCGTGGTTCCATTTTACAATCTGTAAAGATCTACTAAAGGTTCCTGTTTCAACCGATTACTGGTGATTAAGCAATTTTCACAAACAGCACCATGGACATCTCAATTAATTTACTGCATTAAATTCACACACAAAAGTTCTCAGATGAGTTTGTGATGGGAAAAAAATTAACCCGTAAAAACAAAGTTTTTCACTATAAATCCTTTATATGCGTGGCGGCTCGAGTCCTCTCGTCCTCTGGCTTGAGATGGCTGCCACCTATGGGTCAGATGATTGCCTGCCACCATTAAGCAATTGGTAATTAAATATAATATTTTTTTTCCTAAAAAGTGTAAAATTTTGGAATTTTTTTTCTCACGAAAATTAATTGTCACGCACAACGAGTCTGTGTGCAAAATGTCAGCTCGATTGGATCACGAGAAGTGGGTTAAAAAACGACCGAAAGATTTGCACGGTCGTAAGCGCGCAAGCAAGCAAGTGAACTTAATATAAAGGATTTAGAAAAGCATTACTCTCGTTGCCCGATAAAAATGTGTTCACACCGTGCTGATCGTATGAAGGGAGAATTTCAAACATGAAATGGTATTTAACAACGTATATCGGTTACAGCTCTGCATGAGAAAATTATACTTTTGTAAAATGACATCATGAGTTGGATATTTAGACCATAAAAAAAAAACTTTTCACACAAACAATATGTACAAGGAACTGTAACACATGCTTACTACATATTCTTAATTACTCAGATCAAATGCCATGTTTTTGAGTGATTTACCAAAGGTAAACAATTACTGTGACAGAATACACATGAATAATATAACTTTACATTCATATATTAATTACACTTGACCCTCCATAGACTTCCAAGCGCAAAAGAATGGTGCAAAAGTTGTCTCTATATGTCCATATGGAGTATTAGGTCAGTCTATCTTCTTATCCGAACTGCTTTTATCGTTGACCAGTTCCTGTGTCGTCCCACTGGCAGGAGTTGAACCTTCCGTCTGAAAAACATTGAAGACACATGAACATGTTTCAAGTCAACTAGAATACTATTACTGTAATAAATTACCTAACCCTAGTCGTGAGCCTCTATTAGCATTGTAGGTTAATATTTAATGATGCATCTAATATTGTAGTTCAGTGTTCAGTTTGTGTATGTTGACATCCAGAATTCATTGCATTAGTTGAAATTGGTTCCTCAGCATTCAATAATTAGATGTACACATCATAAATGCAAAAAGAAGCTTATATTTAAAAGGAACTCGTACGTGTACAAGATAAAAACGACAATACTTTTCCCAGCATAAAATAATCAGTATATTGCCAAAAGCATGATGCCCACGACCAAATCAACCGCACTGCACCCTATCTTGTAAAATATCGGAAGGTAAGCAGGGATTATTAGCCTGGTGAATGCTTGGATGGGTGACCGTTATGAACAGTATAAAAAGTGTCTTAGCCTGTGAGAAAGTGTTGGGCAGCAGAGGGCAATGCAGAAGCGCCCATTGTTGTACTGTACTTCTACGTTACTGTGCAATCATCAACCCGCATTGACAAGCGTGGTGAAGTCGGGTCAAATAATACCTACGATCCCACGGGACGGGAGGGCCACTGTGAGCAGTGGATTGACAAAAGGGCTGTAACCTGTAAATGTAAATCCAAGGGGTGGATACAATTATATTCTTCTCAAGGTTGGAAACCGAGAGGCCATTTGTCTGGGTACGCACAGTATT